TGCTCGCAATTTCAAAGCCAACCACAAAAAGGTTGTCAGTGCAAATTTGGTGGGCAGGACCCTTGTGACACTGAGCAAGTATACGTAGGTTTCGCAGTGGGTTTCTGTTGCACAAGTCTTCTCTCAAACATCTTTCGCACTGGTCGGAGTATAGATTTGTGAAAGGTCCACCATTTACATAGCTGGGAACAAGTTAATTAGTATATTACATCGAGAGGGCAGTTTTTAGTGGCAAAAATGTGAGACCTACAAATTTTTTGGAAAAATTTGCAATGAAATACCCAATCAACGAAAGAAGAAGAAGCAGAGGTTAAGGGGCAGAACATCGACTGTTTCCCGGCCCACTTCATTTTTGATGTCCCTTCAGGGTCAGGGTCCTCCTCTAGCGGCAACACTTTTCACTCTTCCGTCCAGTACCAAAACTCTCATTTTCTTTTCTCGAAGATTTCCCACAAGTCACTAAGTGTTTCAGGGTCACTGTGAGCGCATGTGCTCCGTTTTTCTTGCTGGGTTTTGTTATTATCACGAGACATGTTCAAAGCTGTTTTTCTTGTGTCTCCTGCAGACACTCCGGCTAGCAGCAGAGCCATGGAAACCACTCCTGCAAGGCTCCCAACACCTACAACCACGTCTCTAGAGCTGCTGCCAGGTATTGTACTGTACATTCAGTATGCATATAATGTGCAGCGAGTGTTACAGTACTCTGTTTGTGTGTCCGCTACCACCGGGTTTTGTTATTATCACGAGACATGTTCAAAGCTGTTTTTCTTGTGTCTCCGGCAGACATCCCGGCTAGCAGCAGAGCCATGGCAACCACTCCTGCAAGGCTCCCAACACCTACAACCACGTCTCTAGAGCTGCTGCCAGGTATTGTACTGTACATTCAGTATGCATATAATGTGCAGCGAGTGTTACAGTACTCTGTTTGTGTGTCCGCTACCACGTACAAATCACACGCAGGAGAGCAGCTAGAAAAGTAACAGTGTTTGCAATACATTTTATAGTCGCACAATAATATCATGTGAGCATTGCACCTACTTTATTGCTTTTCATGTGCAATCTCTTCTGCTCGCTCTCTCCCTCTTTCCGTTTTATTTTTTCTCTCTTTCTCTCGTTCAGATGAACCGACCCTCGCCACACGATTGAGTATGTCATCGTCACCCATTGCGCAACCTCCACGACGGGACTTCCCCCTGCAATTAATCTTCATCGTACCACTAGTGGTACTGGCAGGCATTGCTTTCCTCACTATTTGTACAACCTTTGGCATCATATGTCACAGACACAGAAGGTAACGTTTATGCATACACGTGGAATAAGTTTTACAAAGTGCATTAACGTATCCAGTCACTAGAAACTAAGTATTGTTGTCCGCGCATGAGCACATAAGCAACGGTACAATGTGTCCAACTGTATGTGAAACAGTACATTGATTGTCATGCCTTTACTTTTGCCTTCCAGAAAGTCCAATGTCCTCCCGTTCTTTGAAGAGATAAAGGTTAGTTGACCTACATATAATATAAGCACAACCTTACATTTGGCAGTCTATGAGCTAAGTTTAGACTTCAAGGTTGATTTTTTCCTTCCATTAGTTTGATGTGCAGAAAGCTCCACCGAGTTTTGGACTGATTACAGGAGAACTACTCACTCCCTATCCTTCCCAATTCTCACTGAATGGAGAACCATCGGCCACTTCTGACACCATCCTTCAAACTGTCACACTCAAGAAAGGGAAAGGAGAAGGAGGAGTGAGATCAGGAGTAGGGAGTAGAGAAAGTGGTGAAGAACTAAGTCAGATATCAGTGCCACTACCCGTGAAGGAACGCGAGATTCTTGGGCGGGATTTGTCGAGCTCTGATGAAAACGGACAGACCGATAGTGTCACGACTGAACCGTCTTCGTCTGGGTGTGTGGCGAGTGCTGCAGAATCTAATGGTGGTGCCCCTGTCGAGATTAGCTCTGTTAGTGTCGACGAATCTGGGACTGAGCGGAGCCGAGTTGAAGGAAGTCAGGCGACAGAGGAGGCACAGTTTACTAAAGTTGATGGGAATGAAATGGCAGGGGCAGGGGGGAATGCAATTACAGGGGGAGGAGGGGTCGAGGAAGGGAAACCAATAGAAGAAGCAGAGGTTAAGGGGCAGAATGTCGACTGTTTCCCAGCCCACTTCATTTTTGATGTCCCGTCAGGGTCAGGGTCCTCCTCTAGCGGCAACACTTTTCACTCTTCCGTCCAGTACCAGACCAGCTGTAGCAGTGGCTATGTGACGGACACCTCCAGTCTCCTATCACCCCTCAGTGTGCAGGGGAACCACCAGGACATCACCGGGAATATGAAACACGAGGCAAGATTGCCCGGACACAGATCGGAAACAGAGTCCTTGAAAACTGAGCAAATTTTGCAGCGTCAATCCGACAATTCCATGTGTCAGCTGAGTGAATCTGGGTCAGGGATTACAACTGCTCAATTTGAAAGTACGCTGCTTGACGTTGGAGAGAGCTTTGGGCATTCTCTCGGTTCACCATACTACACTGAGCAAGGTGGACAACCCGATCGTTTTACTAGCAATCACATCAACAACCCTACATCTTCCCGAGCAAGCGCAAGTGAATTCGAAAGCTTTGGGGGTGGGAATCCAACAATGCTGACTGCAGTTCACTTAGATTCTGATGTGATTCCATATTCATCAACCCCCACCGTTGATTATCTCCAGAGTGCAAACGAGGGCTACGTTCATCACTGCACTTGACTTGACAAAACTTACGATTGAAAACTTGACATTATTCTGCACTTCATCACTTGTAAATTATTCTCGATTGACTATTATATAAATTGTCTCTTACGTCATGGCATGCTTGGAATTTTTAATTGGTGCGTCATTACGAGCCCTGCCCCCTCGCGTTATACACACGACGTTCAGTTGCAGTTTGGGTCTGCAGGTTGCTGCCGCTCTTTCGTGTGCGTTTTGCTAGATCTATGCAGCAAAGATAGCTTACCATAATTGCGCGCCGTGCGCACACGAATCTCGCAGGACACCGTTGGTATTGCTAGCGAGCAAAAGAAGTGAAAAGGTTATCGTGGTGTATTGGACTTCTGCAGCACCCAAGCCTCCCTGGAACTTAGAAAGGTGTGTTACTGTAGGCCGACGTAGTTTGGCAGGCTGCGGAGCGGGAAACGTGTGTGCAAGCGGTGTGCTGCATGCTAGCTAGCTACGTTCCCCAACTGATCAACTTTTTGCTGCAGCGCAAGACTGGTGCAGACATGCATCGGATCTTTAGTGTTCTGCTGGTGATCTCGGCTCTGCTGGGATCTTCCCACTCCTTTTGCCCTTCAACGCTCGGTAAGCCAGTCGCGCATGCAGGGCGCAAGAAACACACCGTGCATGCTACACGTAGCTATGTAGCTAGCTAGATATCTAGCTTTGCTTCGTTGAATCATGCGTTTGCAGTCGGTAGCTCTAAAAGGGCCAGAGGAATAGTTGGAGAGTTGCTCTAGCAGCTCTAAAACTGATGTCGAAGAGATTAGAAACTCTGGGGGTTTTTACACAACTTGGTCCAAATATCCATAACCACTTACCCAAATGCTGGAAGTGTGCTACAGACATCATTCTCAAATGCAACCGTTAGCTAAAGTTGCTTTACAAACATTATACAGGTTGTTGTGCATGGGATAAGTTGGTATGCAGTGTTGATAATTGTCATAAAACTTGTATTCATGCACGATAAAAGTGATAGCATGTGTTTAGCTATTTCTGTTGGATTTTGGAACAAAAACTCACTGTAGTGGACACACATGTGTAAAGAACTGTTTTGGTGGCTGCAGCGAATGTGGTGCATATCAGTTAGTGTTTAGTGGGTTTCCACTTTCGAGAGAACTTCTGGACAAGTTTACAAATGGGAGCAACTGAGTCCGTGCCACTGGTGGGGACAATACACACACTGGCCCTGTGTGTTCAGTTGTTTCCTAGAGGTTGAACTGGGGCCCCAAAACAGTGTGCCAGCACATGGGCTGTGGCTTCTGGGTTCATAAATAATGCATAATTCTAGGAAAGTCTCTTTATTAGATGGCCTACCAGTTTTCATAGCAACATTGTTGCCTATGGAAACAATGGGGCTACATGCTGCTATTAGTCTAGTGTCTACATATAGACTGTTGCATTTAGATCAGTAATTCTCTTTGGTGAGTGAAGCATCTTTCATCCACTGTATATACCTTCTTGCAGTCGTTGTGGCGGAAAACTGTGCAATTCAGACCCCAACTATATAGGTAGACTCGATCTGCTTGCCAAATATACATTATGAATACTGGAAACTTGGTTTGGAATCATTGCTTGCCCCAGCGCGTGGAATGTACACGCCTTCTCTATGTATAAAGCATACACACCTTCTATCCATGCATAAAGTGTGTACTTTGTCTCTTTATACATACGGTGCACGGCTCAGTATTCACGATCATTAAGTGCTAATCCTGTGTCTGCTTCCCACCAGGCGAGGGGACTGAATTCTCTATCACTGACTGGAGCTGTGTCAACTACACAGCAGAGTTCAGTTGGAGTCTTGACCTAGTAGTGGCTGACACTACAGTCCAGCTCACTTGTACAAGTGATACTAACGTGAGTGTATTATACATTTGCGCTAAAGGATTGTGTGTTTTATTGAGATAGCTCCTCTAATCAGAAGCTTGACGTTCCCCTTCAAATCAGATGCAAATGTATAATCAGTCACAACAGTACATACAATCAGGACACCTCACCAATCAGAAACATCTTTGGTAATATCCTATTAGACTGTTTACACCAGTTACGTACATATTTTACTGCTGAAAGTATCCTTCAACCACTTTGGTAATATCCTGATTTTCAACCACTTAAAACTATAAACTACGAATGATTTTATCCTCCATTTCTCTCTATGTACAGGAGGAGTATTCTCCAGATATTCCACTGATGTTCAAGACCTCACTCACCCACAGTTTCCCTCTACCACTGACTGGAGAGGTGGTGTGCCAGATATCCGGCTGCTACGAGGACAGAGACACATTTACCCAGTACCTCATTCCTGTTTTCAGCTTTCCCTGTCTTCCACCACCACCTCCTCCTCCCAACAGCAGTGAGTCTGCTTTTACCCTTGGCTTATATACTCATGCTCTCATCCACAATTTACACGCTTCCTAAAGAGAATCCTGATTACAATCCAGCCTGGGCCCCATGTCTTGTTGATAGCTGTTTGAAGTAAGGACACCCACAAAGATCATTTAGCTTCGTATATACTCGCTCATGCATGTTTGCCACTCAAATGTTAGAACACTCTCCATATTACATATATATTATGTGTGTGTCATAATTATTATCAAAGCCCAACAAGCAAGTGACGAAAAGCCTGTTCAATAAAGCACATCATTATTTCGGAAGGTCAATGGAGAGAGCCTCTTGAGTTAAGGATATTCATAGTTTTGTTGGGTAAACCTTTGAAATACTAGACACCATCTTGAAAATTGTGGCGGGCTCTGCAGCATTTTCTTTCACTCTCAGGCCAGGGCTCAGTATAGTCCCTAACATGGCTGTGTGTTGTACGTAGTATGTTTCATACTGAAACTGTTGGTCCCCTTTCTCCCTCCCTTGCCTACTTCTCACAGACTCAGTGTGTAGTTATTGTATGTATATATAATATACCCACCAACATACCTACAGGGAGCTAATTTAGGGTCGAACCCTTTCAATTTTAATCCCTGGAAGAAACGGGTTTCGAGAAGTAGTGTAAAATCTTGGAAAAAGGCCAGTGTCGATTTCCAGTGTTAACACCCTCACAACATGGGATAAAATGGTGCCCTGGTTATAGGAATACAACTACATGTACGTGTTAAAATGTGGCAGTTTACTTGTTTCCATTATGGTGTTGTACCTACGCAGAGAAATCACTTGAGATAAACTGTCTCTATGAGTGATTGAAATAGTCCGAGACACGCTCTTGAGCTTTGGCTGTTTGTGTATACCCACACGTCAATAACCCATACACAGAGACAGATGTATGATCCCGGAGTTGCCAGAGGGAATAGCAGAAGAGGTTTAGTGTAAACTGAAGTGGTTTGTGTCAACAGATCTCGGCAGCAATGAAAACACTAAATTAGTGGGTCGGTGCTCAGGGGACCTGGTCTAGTGACTAATCAAAGTTCCCCTGTGTATTGAGGGTATATATATGTACAGCTTGGTGGTAAACAGGTGTTGGTATAAGAAAGTATTATTAACTTGCTGGCGCACATGTATGTAAAAACAAGGGTCAGATTTAACCTGGCGCACATACATGTATGTACACACAGAGGGTCAAGTATGTTAGTTGCTCAATCAGTATTCCTCACGGCATAAGTATCCAGATCTCACATTTTTTAAATGTACAACTGTGAGTGAGTGTCTCTCTCTGCAGTGTCTCCTAGTAGCACGGAGGCTCCTTCTCCATCTCCCACTTTGAAACTCTACAAGTCACAAGAAAGAAGTACACTGCAACCGTCAACAAGTCCAAGAAATAGAGAGGGTGAGCCTAGTACACACACACACACACACACAGACACACACAAGGAAAACATCAATCACAATCAACTACTTAGTCTAGCGTAAGCAAAATCAACACCCTAGTATAGGATAAGGCCTGGCCTAAAGGGCAATTGAAAGAGCTTAGTCATAGGACTATCAATACCTGCAGGAGCTATACATACATGCATATAGAAGCACTACACAAACGTATGATTACTTAACTCTATTTGTGGGGTAGCAATAATATTATGCGCATACACCTGTAGTTCATATGCAGATGCTTAACTCTGTGTGTGGGTAGCAATAAATATGCAAACAGCATATGTGCGCGTGTGATGCATTGAATATGACAAAGGCCATGAATCTCAAGTGTAGCTGCTACTCTATAAGAGAATATTCATATGCAGAGCCCGCAGGTTCTCTCTAGGAATCTTGCAGGTTCCTAGAATTTACTGCGTCATTCGGTGGACCAAACCTCTCTGTCGCAGCTGGCACTGCACTCCAGCCCGTCTTCAACAGTGAAAAATGACCCTCTGAATAGGGCACCCCTTCCAATCTTAATGAAACTTAGTTTGCCCCATACTAATTGGTGAACGAAGTGAGAGTCTAGTCGTCTGAATGCAGAATTTTTCTACAGACACTGCCACATACTGTAATCTTATATGTGCTTCTATGTGTGAAATAATGCATTCTATATAGTCATTAGTGTATTGTATGATGTAATGGATGCTTCTGAACTTTTGATGTCCCAGAGGTGTCTAGTATCTACAATCCCCTCCGATTCTAATTGGTCCCCCCCCTCTCGTTATGTTGGTAACGTGCAGGAGGTCCCCAGGAACTGGAGGTGGTGGTCATAGCTGTCCCTCTCAGCACTCTCCTTGGAGCGGCTGTCATCCTTTGCCTGGTCGGCTTCTGTGTGTACGAGAGTCACAAACAGCTCTGTGGGGACAAGTAAGACACCTCTGCTGCACACGTAATATAGCATAACAACCTTGTAGTCACGAGTGAAGTGAGTCCACCACCCCTATAGTCATCTCAACTGCACAGCTCCATATCTGTTGTATAGCTATAGATGGTGCCGACTTTATCGTTTGCAATACTTAAGTTCACACTTAGGTTTGCTAACCGTGCATTTATTTTGTGTGTGTCTCTCTCTCTTTTGTGCAGTGGAAAGAATTTTGTTCTGCGACCACAAGATGAGGAGGTGAGGCATGATGTAACAATTTTCCCTCTTCCTCTATTTTACTTCGTGTATCATTACTTCTTCCTCTACGTGTTTCATTCCAAATCTTTGACCTCTGCAGTACGACCAGAGCTACTCTCCCATACTCACTGACATAAAAAATCACAAGTTTTGCTCCACTGAGACCATTCTAGAGCAGCCGGTCTGGGAAACCACTGTTGAACGTGACACTACGCCTTCCCCCATAGCAGAAGAAGGTGTCGATAATGTCTCAACGGCCAGTAGCCAGCATCCGTTTTCTTCTCTCAGCAGTGAGCAACTAGCAGCGTCAACACACCAAGGTACAGTTGAAGACTCTGTGCCTGCAGCTAGCATCAGTCCCAACACCACCGAGAACGACGACGAAATAACCAGCGAGGAAATCGAAAAACATTTCTGGACTCGAGAGCCGTGGCGATAATAACACTGGCATTGGTGAAAGTACTATTAATAGTTCTCGCAACATACCTACCAGTACATATGTCAGTGAGTGTGCTCATACAACTGGACTCGAGAGCACTGTCGATACTAACACTATAAGTGAAGATATTGTTAACACTTCTCACATTAGTACGTATGTCCTGGAATCAGATGTCTTATCAAGCAGTGGTGCTCCTTCTACTGCATGCGGTACTATGGGGGATTCCTCCACGCACCAGTCTTCCTTGCCTCAACACGTGGAAACAGAGAAAGGAAGCTACGTAACAGAGCCGTTCAATGGTGCTAATGGGGAGTTGAGCACTACTCCCCCCATGAGTGACACTGTGTGTCGTCCTCCATTGTTTGAACATGACGGCGATTTCGTCACGGCGGAAATGGGACCCGAGACTAATCAACAGCCCACTGCCCCTCAATCAGCCGTGGGAAACGAGTTCCTGGGGCAGTGTGCGGAAGAAGATGAGGTGGCGATGGCTTTTACCGAGAAATTCACGCACACTACCAAACCACAGCCTTCACACAGCCTTCCATCGCCTGATTCCACAGGCACGACGTCAGGTCTAAGCACAGTGAGCTATTTACAGTGGCCCACTACCGAGCATTGAGCATTACATCATTCTTACATCACATTATGTCACCAATATGTGTATCCAGCTGGTACCAGTATAAAGAGAGAGTCCGTAAATAGAACTACAAACATTTTATTATCCCATTTGTGTTTTGTGTTTCAGTTCCGTGTGTTTTGTGTTCACAGGTTTTACTGTTATTCTAGCAGTGTATCTTATATATTCATCATCATTATATTTCTTTTTATACTTATTTCTTCCTTCATGATTAGAGTATGCTGTTGTATCGAATTATTGTGACCCAGAGCATTTTGGTTTGATGTTAAAGTCTAGCGCAATTTCATTTTGTCTCCAGACAAGGGGTGGTATAATTATACCCAATGAGTTTGAGCCCAAAATAACATAATTATAAGCACTGCCTTTACCCTCCAATCATCGCACTATTAATAGACACAGAATCATATGGAGGATGTATAGGAGCGACAGTGTCTATGTTAGTGTACAGAGTCAGTATTATTGGAGAATGTTTCAGACATGGTGAAAACACATACACTTCTATTGCTGCTGTCTCTTGCCCATAAAGAGCTATTCTATGAAGAGCTCGAGATTTCGTGTAGCTCTCTATCACTGAGCTGTGTGAGTGTCATTGACAGTGAAAGGAGTTGGTTGTGATAGCTGCATGTGAAGTTTGTCCTCTTCACATATGCTTTCATGGACACAGTTTGAGTAAGCTGTGGTGATGGAGAGTCGAGGTAGATTGTGGGTGGCGCTAGTGGTTGTCTCACTACTACTGAGTTCCCATGTTCATACAAGTTCTACTATGAGAAGAGGTCAGTGTAAAAAAAGGGGAGAAATAGGATTACATGTAGCTATCGCTGTTCGCAATGCCACTGCCTTAGCTATGATACCGTAGCAATGATGCCAAGTGGGACACTGCACAGTTCATTCCACACACACACACATACCGTGGTATTTTGAACTTTCGCAATAAACTGCTATTTCCCAAGGGTCTTCAAGACTGCAAGTGCTGTTGGTGGGAAACAAGCTGAGTTGGACACTAGGCCCTAGAAACGCCTCAACTGGCACCCTCCGGTTCTCCATATCGGTCTACTCCACACTGGAGCTGTCTAATGAGGTAGCCAGCCAGAGAATCTACAGGCAGATGCTCAACCTGGCCGTGTTCTCCCTGGCAGAAGGAACCTATTATATTCAGGTATATATATACACCAAAGGGAATTTGTAGTTTGGTGTGTGCATTTTGCCACTTTCACTGGCTCTAGCATAATCATGTGTAGGTAACAGCTAGACATCAAAAGCAATGTATTCTGCAAATTGACTATTGTTTGGTGTGTGAATACAGGTTGCGGCCTCAATTGGTGATGGAAGAGGTAGAGTAGCCAGCGAGGTCGTTGTCTACAATGTGACCAATGAAGGTGGGTATTATCTCTGCAGTGTGTTAGTCAATCTGGGGACTAACTGTCACAAGTTGCAAGTGAGAAATCCATGATGCCAACAATAATGCAATTTAACAAGATTGAAATGTGTGTTGTAAGTTCTACCCAGTGTGCTGAATACAGAGCATTATGTACACACATCAGTTATCCACCCTACACATGTCTCAAGAGTAGAAACTCTGTGTTCGCAGGCAAAACCTCCCAAAAGACTTCATTCACGATCCTCATCGCGACCATCTCTGCCGTCCTGAGTACTGCCGTGCTAGTTGGATCCGTTCTATTTCGCTCTGACGATGTGGAGGATAAGATCGCGAGGTCGACGAGCAGCAAAACACTCTCGGAACCAACCACTCAGCAAAGAGACTAAGGTGCACGGGAAGAGACGTAGTACGGGCCACAGTCTTTGTGGATGTTGCTGCACAAGATGTGGGAAGAGGTTGGGGCGTTTGACACACCCGATCGGCCCTCAACTACGCACAATTCAGGCGAGGGACAAAAACGGAGGATTGGTCCCGCTTCACGTTGTGAATAGAGACGTTGGGTCTACTCATTCTGACTTGGACCGTAGTAATGCCATTAAACCAATCCAAATAGCGGAAGACAAATCGATAACACTAGAGGACCTTCCGTATGGGTACATTTCACCTGCCGACATAAACGTCCCCCCACTTCGCAAACTCATGAGCAGTGAGCAGCCTCCGATGCTAGCTACAACCTCTCAACAAGAAGGCTACGTAAACGTCGATTTCACAGACAGAGCCATTAAGTGTAAGAACTATGACGGACCCATATCTCTATCGGAGAGCATCTACTCCATCCCCTGTACCCTGACGGCCAGTATGGAAGAGGACTACGACAATACTCAGCACTATCTGAGCGTCATTCAGTCTTGATACATGTATCGATCACTCCATACACGTTCCATATAATACCGACAATCCACTTAGCACAACAGGCACATGTAATAATTATTCTCCAGACAAAAGTATGTTATAAGAGTTTTTGAGAGGTCAAAAGATCAGTATATACAACAAATAGCAGTACAACACTTACCAGCTAATCTTTTAGTAATCTCTTTTAAACTTGGTAGGAAATTTAGGTGAACAGTGAGTGTACCAAGTTAGTTAGAGAGAGAGTGTCAAGTGTCCCACAGTGAACCATCAGCTAGTAAGTCAGACACAGACACCTTACCACTACCCCCGCCTCCCCCCTCTTTACCACTTCCCTGGGTCTCCTTCAGGAGCTCATGAAGAGATGCCCCGAGGTTGTCTTCCACGTGTTTCCGTTTGGGCGGAGGGATATTTGACGGGCTGATGCGAGGTCTGACTCTGCGGGCTGAGCCTCGAGGGGAGTGAGAGAGGGAGAACATTCTAACTGCTGTCTCTGAGGAGAAGCGGGAGGACGGGGAGGGAGTGAGGAGGGAACTACGAGATAACGGGGCACTCGGCTTTGCTGCGTAAAAATTCTTCCCTGTAGTGGATTAGAACACACCGCACCGTAAGAGTTATGACTACTACATAGGTAGAAGAAATTTCTCTGAATCTGAAAAGATTATACTCTCACCTAGTCTAGCTTACCAGCAGACCCTCTCTCTCCGGCCGACACACACGGAAGCGGGAGAGATGACACGCACGGAGAAAGAGGGTCTAGCAAAACCTGCACTTGATATCATTTCTCAATAGAGTGAATCGTTGCAAAGGTTCACAGTAGTACACAAGCTCCACCTAGTTTACGTAAACAACCCAACGCGATGACCAACGTTCACGCAAAACGCAATAAGTGCTGGTTTCACTAGACCATCTCTCCGGGTGCGTTCGTGCATGCACGACTGAAGAGAAGGTCTGCGTGCTAGATTAACCCTTACCATGACTTCCCAGAGATGAGAGAAAGTTGAGTTTTCGAGCCTTTTTCTCGTGACTCGCTCTGCTAGTTGGCTTCACTCTTTCACTCGAGCTCTCTTCAGATGACACCTCCGTTTCTGAAATGAATTTTTAGGCACATGTGGTGTTCAAAACCTTACCATTAATCTAAAAAGTATGGTTTTTACTCATTATTGACCATAATAATACTGATGCAAATACAACTGGAATGGTGCCTAACCTGTTACTGAGAAGACAGATAACAGACTGCTTTCCTTGGGTGTCCCACTCTTCACTTTACCAGGGGAGACCCTGGCAGACAAGGTAATCCCAGCGGCAGGTGACAGCTGAACCTTTGGAGACACCATTGACGGAGGGATGGCTGTGGGTTTCAGGAAACCATCCTTGCTTCTTGCTGCTTCTTGGGAAGACGAGCCACCATTTCTTGAAACATCGTCATCTTCTTCTGTAGCGGAATCATCTTCATGACTCGTCTTTCCCCCACTCTCTTCCACAGATGGAGGGGGTTTCTTCCTAGTCGTTAATTTGGTAATTACCTGCGGCTGTGGCAGTGCAGCTTCCTTCTTTTTGTGTTTCTTCTTCCTTTTCTTTTTGCCACTCTGTGACAGTGTCTCAGAACTTACATCTATCACATCCGTATCGGTGGTCGTCCCTTCTCCCAAATCCTCATTCTCAGTCAAATCCGCATCTTTCGCTGCTGTCACAGAGGGTTCTGTTGCAGACTGGGCAGCAGTGGTTTGCTCATCTCCACCCTCTCCACTGGCAGTTTCAGGTGTAGCGAAAGTTGACATGTTCTTTCGTTTCTTTTTCTTCTTGCACTTCTTTCTCTCCCCGCAGCTTTGCTGTGAATCCGATGCCGTTGCATCGTCAACTTCAGTTTCTTGAGAACTGTTCTCTTCAACAGTGTTGTTCCCTGAGCCTTGTGATTTCGATTTGGTACTTCCTAAATCTTCTGTCTCGCTCATTAGATCGTCACAGTCAATGACCAAGGCCCCTTCTCCCTCTGATTGGTCAGTCTGACTACTGGGAACGTCCTGGCTACTCAACACTTTTACTTCTCGTTTTCGCTTCTTTCTCTTTGCCCTACTTTTCTTTTGTTCATTGGATCCATCTTCCGACTGACTTTGACTTGGAGGAGCTCCAGCTTCAGTCAAGTTTTCCTTGCTAGGCTTTTGAGGAGAAGAATGAGATGACTTTCGTTTCTTCAGAAGCTGAGGTGACTCTGACACTCCAGAGATTGTGGCATCTGAGCTTTCGGCAGCGTTGTCTGAGTGGATTTGTTATCATTATCTCCCCTGTTTTTCTTCTTTTTCTTTTTCTTTCGTTCTGAACCATCACTCCAAACCAGATCTGCTTCTGAGTCGGTGTGTTTAGCAGACTCATTCTTTTTCTTCTTCTTCTTCTTCACCCTGTCACTTTCTGCATTGCCGTCGTCTTTCACTTGGCTACCATTGGCCGAGGGAGAATTCATCAGTGTCACGTTGTCCTGCATCTTTTGGCGAGGGGTAAACGAGGGTTGATGAGAGGGGTTGGAGGGGTGACTGAGGAGTGGGATTTCAGGGCTGGGGGAGCGACTGGACGTATGAATTTCCTGAGACTCCTGAGAATCCTCGATTACAGTTAGTTCATCTGCATGACCTGAGAAGATTACCAAAAATCATACACAGTATTTTAAACATGGTTGGCCTGCAAGTGCAGCATACAAAAATCCATTTTCACAAACTTGTGCAAAATCATCATGTGCATGTGAGCTCAACAAACAAAGATACAAGCAAGTGTAAAGTGTTTTGCCGAGTCTCTTTCATAAACTATGCTAGAAATTTGCTCTGGGATAAGAGGGTCTCACCGTGTGATTTTGAGAAAGTCTCTAGTTCCATCTCCTCATCTGAGGGTAGGGAGTTGGGAGCAAGAACTTCAGTCTCTCTGCTTGAACCACTCGCTTCTACATATCCGATACCATCTATATATACGTTTTCACCACCTTCATGTCTATCATTCTCTTCTTCCCTGTCTTTTTCAACAGGATCTAAATTCACTGTGGTTTCTTCTACTCTTCGTGCAAAAGTGCCAGCAGCCGACTCATTGGACCCACTGACAGATCCTGTGTTGTCCGCTGTAACATTTTCCGTCACTTCCGAGACTTTTGAGCAGTGTTTGAGGTCTTCGAGTTTCTTCTGCCTCAGGCGGCGTCCGTCTTGTGCACTGTATCTCTTGACAGGCGAAGGACTGGTAAACTGATTCCAGGTTTCCACCAACTTCTCAGATTGACTCCCACTTTTTTCTGACTCAGAGCTACTTTTTCCCTTCTTTTTCTCTTTCTTGTTCGATTTTCCCACTGTTTCTACCTTCTGTCTTTCTTTTATCTCCACTAGTACTGTTTGCGATTTTTTCAAGACTTTAGTAACTTTCGAATCTTTCTTCTTTGAAGGTTGAGAAGCTCTGTCTTCTACTTGTGACTTTGAATCAATTTCTGCCTCTCTTCATCTGTGGTCCAGCCTGAAGATGAATCAGCAGGGGTCGCCTCTTTTGCGACTGGCTTAGGTTTCTTTCGTGGTTTAGCTGCTTTTGTGTTGTTATTCTTTTGGCTCCGATCCAAAGAATTTTGGGTGGCGCTACTAACCGATGTGGCAGGCTCAACAGGTGCTGTATTCTCTGTATCATTGTCAGCATCAGTTTCCCACTCGGAAGAGGAATCATTAATGTAGAGGCTGGTATTTCATCTGGTTTTTTGTCTGGATTTTCTTTGAGTGTTGTGGACTTTGAAACTCTTTCTACAGCCACTGCCTTAAGCCGTTTTCCTTTTGACGAAGGAGCCTTCTTCTCTTTCACCACTTCACCCTCACTCTCATCTGCAGTGGTCGCCCAACCTGAATCAGTGTCGTCACCGGGAGGAGTTCTCGCCTTGCTCGCAGCTTTCTTTGTTTTCTTTTTCAGCATAGTCTGTTTGCTTCCTCCCTTGGTAGCGACAGTACCACCGGAAATTTCAGCACTTTTTGAGAGTTTTCTCTTTTTTGCCGGGGGAGACTGAGGCGACAGAGCACTATCTAGTACATTACTCTGGTTTGAAGAGTCAATACCCAGTATGAATGGAGATGAGGGTGATGACTCACTAGGCGACTTTGGTACACTTTCATCAACTGTTGATTGAGGGGGAGGTTTTGAGTGCTCCTTGATTCCCTCTTGTGTAACAGTGTTACTGTCTCCCACAGAAACACTCTTTTCCTTTCGTACTTGTTGAACCTCAACCTGTTCCTTTTGTTCTTCATTCATACCCTTTCCCCCCACTTCACCCTTCCTCTCCACTCCACCTTCTAAGTCGTTCTTTGTCACTTTTGTCTCCTTTGCGGGTTTCTTTTTGGGATCTTGTGTTCTTCCCCGAGGAGTTCGTTTTCTTTTTCTCGCTCCAGTCACCGCCACTGTACCATCTGAACTGTCGCTAGGAGTAGGAGCAGGCGTGGAGAAAAAATTTTCTTTTGGGGAGTAGCTCTTGCCTCCAAGTGAGAGAGATCACCCAATGGTGACTCTGATTCCTCTGTACTAGCTGTGTGCTCGATTCTGTCAGAGTCACATTCCCTCTCACTGTTGCTCTGACAAGGTTGAGATTGAGGGGTTGTTCCCCTGATGGACTCTGGGCTAGGGCATTGACTGCCAACAGTCTTGGCCGATGGAGATTGAAAAAGACTCAGTTTTGATATCTCTAGTGGAGGTGGTAAGACACGAGATTGGGGTGGAGTGTAGGGGCTACCACCCAAGTGACCATAATTCAGCATATGGGCACCCATTACTGGAGAATAGTAACCCTGCAGAGACGGTAGCTATATATACATGAAGTACCTTATTATTAGTCACACAGTTTTACCAATGGATTGTATCCACAGAATGACAATTGAGACGGTGAGGTGTAAGCACAAAGTCGCCTGTGAAAATATTAGGTAATACAGAAGTTTGATAGAAGACTTTAGAGGATTTACGGTGAGTTAGTGTGGCCATCTCCTGTTGAAGGAGTCACACCCCCTGACCCCTGAAGCTATGACTGTATCGTTGTCCGACAGCACGGAAGAGATTGTATACCCTCCATAGAGCACACAGCCTGACAGTGTCTGTATCTCAGTCACTGGCTGGGGAGGACTGTAGGAGAATTACGGCAGTCAGATCTACCACATTGAGCTGGCTATAATTATAAGAATGTATTATACACTGCTGGAAGTTATATGCATATACAGTAGATACTAGGTGTGCATCCAGTTATGTGGACCGCCAAACAGAGAACAGCCACTGACAATAGGCTCGCATAAGTATAATGCATCCTACACTGCTATAAAGCGTAGCTATATAATACAGTACATTTACCTTGAAAACTAAACTATGTGTGTGTTTAGTTGTGGCATTATACTACAGTTACCCAGAGCTTTGAAACAGAGCACAGTGGACTCTCTCGATCTCTGTCTTCAAGTCTGCCACAGAACTGTTCTCTGGTATGACAACCTGGGAACGTAGATACACTTACAGCAAGTGGTGGCTGAGATCATCACTCACGATGAATTTCTTTTCCAGGTAAATTACAGCTACTCTCATCTTTCGAGTATTATAGACACACGTGTATACAAACGTACATGCCTCCCTCGCTTGAGTGCGCATGCGCCAATTGGGGTTTGTGGATCGGACGCATGCGCAACATTGGCCGCAATAACTTCAAACACCTTGCATACAGGTTTCACAAAACCAGCAGATCATTGGAATCATGAGTTTCATTAAAGGCCCAGTTGTTGTTCTTACTTTTCTCCAGATTTATTTGATGTTTTTTCTATTGGTCATCCCCAGTTCAGCTCAAAGTAAGTCTATAATCTGGTACCTTGAAAAACCTTGAATACTTCACTATTAATTTTGCAGTCTAATAAGTAGTGATATGTTTCATATTTTTAGGTTGCACACAGTGTCCAGCTAAGAGAGAGGGTCTAGTGCACTATCCTACCACCCTTGCTCCACGTTTTGAACTAACTGTCAGTGCAGAATGTGCAGACAATGCTGCTCTGGCAACTGACTCTAGTCTGAGTGTCATATGTACCTCAAGTGGTGGCTGGTCTGGTATAACTCCTCAGTGTCAGTGCAATACTGGATATCATGAAACTGGAGATGCTACTCAACGCATATGTGAAGGTTTGCATGTGCATTCTTACCAGTGTAGCTAAATGATTATATTTTCAGCTATTCCAAGCTGCCCAGCTAGAAATGTTGGTCTAGTTCGCTATCCTACTACACTAGCTCCAGCCAGTGGATCATTGACTGTCACTACACAGTGTGCTGACAATGCTCACGTCAGAACTGGCTCTAGTCTGAGTGTTGGGTGTAGCTATAGTGGTAGCTGGACTGGAACAACTCCTCAGTGTGAATGTGATGCTGGATATCGTGCAGTCACTGTTAGTGGAAGTCAGATTTGTCAATGTAAGCATTTTAGTAGCTACTATCTTTCACATGACTTACTCTGTTTTCCACAGGTTTTCCTCCAACTACTTGCACAGCTAGAAATGTTGGTCTAGTTCGCTATCCTACTACACTAGCTCCAGCCAGTGGATCATTGACTGTCACTACACAATGTGCTGACAATGCTCACAGAACCAGTCAAAGTTTGAATGTCAGGTGTACCTCTAGTGGTGGCTGGTCTGGTACAACTCCTCAGTGTCAGTGCAATACTGGATATCGTGAAACTGGAGATGCTACTCAACGCATATGTGAAGGTTTGCATGCGCATTCTTACCAATGTAGCTATCTAGATGATGACATTTTCAGCTATTCCAAGCTGCCCAAGAAGAATTGTGGGTCTAGTCTACTATCCTAGCACACTGGCTCCTGATTTTGGGACTAAAGATGTGCTGGCACGATGTGCTGACAATGCCCGCCTAGTTGGCTCTATAAGTCTGAGTGTCAGGTGTACCTCAAGTGGTACATGGCCTGGTCAAACCCCTGAATGCCAATGTGATGATGGATATCGTGAATACACCGAGGAAAACAGACAAATTTGTCAAGGTAGGAAAATTTTTTCGATTATATAGAGGAACTCTGTATTAGTTACAATTGGATTGCATGTCATTTAGCAATAACTTGTGGACCTAAGAACGTTGGTCTTGTTCATTATCCTACTACATTCGGGAAAAGATTGGAGACGTGCAGTGTGTGGATCATGCCCACCAAATCAACCTGCTTCACTGGCTGGTGCGACGGCAGTGGTAACTGTCGGATGAGATTCCTCGAGTGTGATGTGATGAAGGTATAACGTGTCGTCACTCAATACGAGAAGCAAATTTGTCAAGGTTAGCTTAAGGTTTTGCGTGCACTACTAAAATGTTTGCCCGTTTTGTATACAGCGTTCCAAGCTGTCTTGCTAAGACTGTTGATCTAGTTCACTCTCCTCACGCCATAACAACTACTCCTAGCAGTGTATCTAATCTAAGACGTCGTGTACAGTGTGCCGACAATGCTCTGTCAGAACTGGTTCTAGTCTGAGTGTCAGGTGCAACTATAATGGAACTGGTTCACTGCATCGTTCCACACTGTGATTGCGATGATGGATATACGGCCAATATCTGAGGATAATAGATGCTATGCGAAGTTTAATAATAAACCACACATGTACAAGCCATAATCTACGCTATTTTTCTGCTTGTTTCAGCAATAGTTTGTGAAGCTAGAGTGTGGGTCTAGTTCGGTATCCTGCGAATAACCTTTTGGTGGCTCATGGCGGTGATCTGCAGTGTGCGACATGCTCACAGGCAACAGCTCCATAATATGAGATTTTGTGTAAACTCAATTGGTGTCTGGTCCACATAAAGACCTTCCAAGAAGTGCCTCTGTTTTTTTTGTTGGTTTTTTTTGGGGGGGTGAAAATGATAAATATCGCATTGTCAACAGAAAAGAGAAGGCATAATATTTGGTAAGGTTCAGTAAAGTAAACATACACAACAGGAAAATCTAAAAAATTAGGAAGTGCAGCTCGTACTAATAAAACAAAAGCTATTCCTAGCTGTCAGCAGCGTAAGATGGGAGGGGTCTAGTTCGCTATCCCAACACACTAGCCCCGAAAATTGGATCAGATACTGTTATTGCAGAGTGTGCAGACAATGCTCAGAGAACACGCAACCAGTCCTGAATGTGACGTTTCCCTTTTCCAAGGTTGAATGGTCGGTATGGTAAAAGGGATTCCTCATGTGCGAAGGTGATCTCGAATATACATAGCTACTATTAGTGAAAAGGCAGATATGAAATCGTGGTAACGATGAAGTATTACTATACCTAGCATGCATCACCACAGTCTCATTATACCCTGTTTGATACATATAGCTATTCGCCTACTCTGTGTGAGGCAATGAGTGAGGTCTGGTTCGCTATCCGAATTGTATAGCTCCACTCGTTGGCAAACGAGCCTGTCCGCATACAACAGTGTGCTGACATGCCCCAGAACCAGCACTAGTCTCAATGTCAAGTGCAGCTTCTGACGGCATATTGGTCTGGTCGCGGATACCTGTGTTTTGTGAGTGTGATGATGATCACCACGTGTCAACCGCTGATGATGGAAGAGATATATGGGGTCAAAGTTATAAATAGCTAAGAGTTCCATAACTCGTAGTGTTGAAGAAGCGCTTTCTAGATTCACACAGGACGAACAGTAACCTTTTACTCCGTTTATGTTAGGGGACCGATTTCATTCATGAACACGGTGAGTGTGTTTCATGGGAACAGGCACACGGATTTTATAACCATTAATTAGGCAGGTTTCACTCTTTCTGCTAGGTCAACAGATTCTGCTGTCACTCTGTGCTGATCTGGACTGATATGAAATCCGTTGCATTTCTCCGAGTTCATATACATTACCTACTACACGGCACATTTCAAAAAGTAAAGATACACCTCCTGCTTCCCCCCCCCCTCACTCTCCCCTCAGTGACAACTTATTGTTCACAATGACCAGCACTGCTAACTGTCTCGGGAGGAGCTCTCCTCATTACTTTTACCCTCATACTATCACCATCCTCGCCATAAAAACTCTGCTGAAGGTGTCCCTTAAAAGACCTAAACACTCAGAGTCCCTATGTCAACTTTGGTACGCACGGCCAATAACTCTGGTGGTTTCCTACTAGTAGTACCTTTGGAATGAGCAACTTCTGGGGACTAGAGAAATGATTGGATGAGGAAGATTGGTAGCCCGGCCGCAAGTAGTCACCACCCCAATAAAAGTTTTAAGGGCTCGGCTCGTGAAAGTACATCGCGAAAGTAGGACAACAGGGAAGGTGTTGTTTTTCAAGCCTTATGACGACAAAACACGTGGGAAAGGAAAGAAGCAGGGAAAATGGTGGTGGTTTACCGGGCCAGGTCCCCCGGAAAAAGTTCGAAACGGAGGAGCCGAGAGACTGGAATCAAATGCTTGGGCGTGCTACAAGCCAACCCACCGTGGAAGTGCAGAAAGTTCAGTATTGTGACAGAAGAGATAGAAGAGATAAGTGAGAATGAGTTGTGGTATCAGTGATTCACATGAAACTGTCCCCATCACTCGGAGACTAGATAATTTGGTACTTTGAAGATAGATATTATATGCTGGGTTCATTGTCCTATAGGAAAAGGTTGACAAAGAGAACGACCCAAAGAAGCAGAGAGTGAAAATGACGATACAATGAACTCAACCCTCCACAACACAAAGTGCAGCGGTAGCAGCCAGCATTGCCTGAGAGCATAGAGTCGATGACACGTGTCGAGCGACCGCAAGGATAAGACGCCGAGAACTATCGAGGACGTGTCAGAAGATTTAGATGTCGTTGTCACCAGTTTGGCCCACTAGAAGACTTCAACAGCCACAACACCCACGCGGCGGTGTGAGAAAGCATACGCCGGTTATACAGTGTCCAGCTCCTTATGACGTTCCCTTTCTACAAATGAGGCATATGCCCCGAGTGAAAATGTCCCAGTTTTACAATGCCGCGGACAAGACATGCGAGGAGGTACAAAAGGGTGGGTGAGGGTCATGCCTACGATCAGTGAACTAAACGAGACAGAAGTTTGGTGACGTGTACTCTTGTAGGTGACTAATGACGTTTTACAACTGTACCTACTCAATATTGGGGGGGTCGTAATATTCGCTCTTGGGTTGAATGTAGGTTAATAGTGCAGCGTTAACATGTGTGAGCTGTAATAACTTTGCAATTGGAGTTAAGACTGCAAAATTTTTTTTCAGTACATTTTTTTTAAAGGCCAAACTTCATATAGAAAGAATACACAGTATAGGACTGGACTCCACTACTAATGTGTATCGTATAATTGTAAGCACTAAAGCAAAACCATCCACACACAAACATTATGTTCAACAGACCATCACAGACAACAATGTTAGACAGTGTGGTGTTTTATTCGATTCCACACACCACAGGGAGGTTGGTGGGTGGGTTTATGGCATTCTGAGCACCACAAGAAACTTATTGGTAGGACTGTTTCTAGAAGCTATGTAGCCCATCCCTGGTTATGAGGTCTGAAAGGTGTGCCTTGAAGTTTCCAATGACCTTGGTGCGTATAAGACTCAGAGTTAGTATTATAACGAGTCACTAGTACCGTCTAGGCAGAAGCTTAAAAGAAAGGCTTTGAGGTTCAAATGCTAGCAGGCAAAATGTCTTCAGGGAGGCTGATAAGTAGGTGTTATGTTTCCTAATGCAGATCAACTAAAGTGTGAAGATGTCCTAAACGACCTAACGTCCAGATACCATCATCAGATACCACTGCTTTCTTATTCGAGTTGTGTGTGTTGGTGTCTCTAACACTCAGTGTATCACAGCGGCATGAACCCCGGAAACTCAGGTAATGGTTGATGTGTGTGCTGCTGTGCCAAAAAACGACGCCAGAAGAGGACTGGTAATGTCTGCTAAGCACACACAATTGATGTATTCCGTTTGGTACTAAAATAATATATTACGTACAGGCTCCTCAGCCCTGCGATACATGCCATGGAATTTTGCGAGGATATTTTGCTGTCCAGAGCTATGACAGTACTTTAAGTCTCATGTGACACAGTTATAGCGGTCTGGCTGATAATGTAGGCCTTGTGTATCTAAGTCTGTCCCGCAGAAGCACCCACCCAAGGAATTAGAAACTAAAAGCTCCTCTGCTTGCCACTTGGGCTCACTCTTGATTGTTTCACAACTGAAAACGACAGCTCGCGTGAGTCTGGCAGACGCTGGTAGGGAGGATGACCTTTTCCACAGGTCTGCTTCTCCGTGACAACAATAAGTGCTGCACATACAACAATGCTCCTACAACAGCCGATTGTGTCCACATCACAAACTTCCACAGTCAGGTTTTTCTACAACATCTCCAACCAGGGGACCTACTGTCTTTCCAACTCACCATGATGCGAACAACAATTTCATCATCGTAGAACGGATACCACTGTGCAGATCTACCACTAGTTTGTGCGATGAGTATTGACTCATCACGTACGACTGTGTCACTCAACCAATTGTCCAACAACCAGCACGTCGCCACAACAAGACCTCCAACAACAAGTCCTCCAACAACACCATGCGATTACCGTGACTATAGTGACTGCGACACTACAGATCTTTCAACAACAAGACCTCCAACAACACCATGCGATTACCGTGACTATAGTGACTGCGACACTACAGATCTTTCAACAACAAGACCTCCAACAACACATCCTCCAACAACACATCCTCCAACAACACGTCCTCCAACAACACCATGCGATTACCGTGACTATAGTGACTGCGACACTACAGATCTTTCAACAACAAGACCTCCAACAACACATCCTCCAACAACAAGACCTCCAACAACACACCCTCCAACAACGAGACCTCCAACAACAAGACCTCCAACAACAAGACCTCCAACAACAAGGCCTCCAACAACAATACCTCCAACAACAAGTCCTCCAACAACAAGACCTCCAACAACTAGACCTCCAACAACAAGACCTCCAACAACACGTCCTCCAACAACAAGACCTCCAACAGCAAGACCTCCAACGACAAGACCTCCAACAACAAGACCTCCAACAGCAAGACCTCCAACAACACGTCCTCCAACAACAAGACCTCCAACAACACGTCCTCCAACAACACGTCCTCCAACAACACGTCCTCCAACAACCAGACCTCCAACAACAAGACCTCCAACAACAAGACCTCCAACAACACGTCCTCCAACAACAAGACCTCCAACAACACTGCAATAGATCAATTTCCCACAGATCTTTTCATCCTCACAGATATGGACACAACAGTTCCTGCCCATGGATCAACAGCTTGTCCAGGTATCTTCAATAGCTGACCACTATTGCCTTTGTATTATTATTACCCCGTTTCAGATTGTACAGTGTGCGAGGCCAAGGGTGTTGGTCTAGTTCGCTATCCTACTACACTAGCTCCAGCCAGTGGATCAGTGACTGTCACTACACAGTGTGCTGACAATGCTCATGTCATCAACTCTACTAGTCTGAATGTCACGTGTACCTCTAATGGTAGTTGGTCTGGTCATATTCCTGTGTGTGAATGTGATGAGGGACATTATGTAACCAGTGATGATAATGGAAGAGATATCTGCCAAGGTTAGCAGCTAGAAAATTACTATAGAAACCTTACCCAGAGAAAATTTCATCATTTTCCGTCACACACATAGGGATAATTTACACTTCAAGTAACCTGGTTTGACCAACAGTGTGTTGTCTCATTGTTCCCTGCTTCACGTAATTATCCTCATTCACGTCTTGATAAATCTCCCTTTGTTCACCCACCACAGATGACAACCTAATGATACCTCTAGCAACTGCGTCAGGAACTCTCCTCCTAATCCTTTCTCTCACCGCCATAGTCATCCTAGCCACATTTCTGCACAGGGTGTCCGCGAGGAAACGTAAATGCATCGATCGCACAGCAGATCCATCTGCAATGTATAGTAAACTATGGGTACGAAAAAAGCAGATTCTCAAAGGGCTTTCGAACAATGTTAAACAAAGCAAGTGAAGATCGTGCATATGACCTTGTCAAATGAATGAATCACCATACCCCATATTATACTTTGGATTGCAGATGAACTGTAAATAGATATGTAGCTTTAGAGCCTGTTTTGGGGCATGTGTTATGTATATAGTATGACTAATTGTTTGTTTTCTATCGCTATCATAATGTTGTAATTAATATTATATTAAGGTGGGCACAACTGAGTAATTTATCCGTCAGCATTATCATAGTGTGAACTAGAGAGTATTCTAAGAAACTGGTATGCCCGCATGAGCTGTTTCATGCCTATAGATGTACAACAAGGGGGCACATCGGACTCTTGAGTAGTGTGCCGTAAATAGATTTCACATTGATTCCTGGCATATGCGACTGTTTCTGAGACAATGGTTGGTTGGTATACATTAAAATGTGAAGTGGTAATTTGGCCTGTAAGGTGCCATTCGGATGTTTTTCAACCAGATGCATACATAATACATGCATACCATACATGCACTTGCATATGCTCGCGGGGTAATAAAGGTAGCTATACTCAACGTAAAGTCTCAGATACGTCAAACTAGGAAGATGTTTTGTGAGATTGCAGTATTCAACTATTATAACTCACGCACAATCACATATACACTGCACTCAGTAGGTATAGAAGGAAGTAAGATTCTGCACAGAAAAATGGAGCTATTAACCTCAATACAGCAAATATTATAACTCACACACATTCACATATACACTGCACTCAATAGGTATAGAAGATAGTAAGATATTCTGCACAGAAAAATGTATCAACCTCAATGGTTTAAGAAAATTCTATCAGCCCCTCTGGCTTGCAATTCAGCCCTAAGAGAAAGCACATGTGCTCTGGCTTTACCAGTGATTCTGTGTCTGGCCACTTTACATGTTTGTTGAAGTAGGTAAAAGGGGCCAATGCATGGATTTGTGCAGCTCAGCACACCATGAGAAAGTAATGTGCGGACGTAACATGTCGCTCATATCTAAACGAGATAAATTTTGTAAAGACTCAGTAAAATAATAAATCACAAACATTACTATACATGTTCACATAGCATCACATGCACATGGGATTACTTAAGCAGCTTAACAGAGAATTTGTGTTTGTAACCACGTGGCTTCAAGCTCCAACTCTGGGTTGTTGGTTTTGAAGAGGCATGAGACGCAGCCATCACACTCCCTTGGATAGCAGCATGTTGTTGTAACTATGCTATGACTATATAGATGGTTGTACAAGTGGTGTTATGACTGGTCATAGGTGTTTGACAGCAGTTGTGGTCTGATCAGTGGAGTGTGTGCACAGACATGGTACATACATCACATTGTGGTACGAGTGTGGACTTCTTCCAAGGCAACTCTTCTGTCGTTTTCTTGGTGAAGAGTATAGCAGAGTCTGTACCTGGGTGTAGTTGACTTGTTGCCTTGACTCTTTCTACTAGCTCACCAGTGTTGAGACATCACTCAAGCATGGCATGCGTCCCGCGAGAGATGTGTTTAAGCACTTGTCATCATGCATCACAAGCAATTGACACAAAGGGGTCGGGCATTTATAGATTGAGACGGACGGAACATGAACAAACAGCCATCGACCGACAGCCTAGCTGTGAACCCGGACGTAGCTATGTATATGGTATATGCTGTTCTACCAAATGTCCCTGCTGCTATTCCCATAGACGCAGCGTCTGCTGTGTTTCAGACAGTGCGGGCGGTACTGCTATGCTACGCATGCGCATTGCGTCCCTCGAGAGACTGGTTTTCAAGCCGTCTGTCCTTTGGACGCAGGAGCTTCTCCTCTTCAAATCATTCACACTTCATCACCCCTCACTCTCATCTGCAGTGGTGAGTTGGTCGCCGCAACGCTGAATGCAGTGTCGTCACCGGGAGGAGTCTTGCCTTGCTCGCACAGCTTTCTTTCTTTGTTTTCTGTTTCAGCATAGTCTGTTTGCCTTCCTCCCTGGTGTGCGACAGTAGTCGCGCCGGAAATTTCAGCAGTTTTCGAGCACTCTGTGAGCAGGTTTCGGTTCTCTCTTTTTTGCGGCGAGAACTGAGGCGACAGAGCACGAATCTAGTACCCCATACTGACTCTGGTTTGAAGAGTCAATACCCAGTATGACATGGACGACCTGAGCCGCCGCTTGATGTAGACTCATTTCCTAGGCGACTTGGCGTTACACTTTCATCACTGTTGATTGAGGGGGAGGTTTGATTGCTCCTGTGATTCCTCTTGTGTAACAGTGTACTGTCTCCCACAGAAACACTCTTTCCCTTTCGTACTTGCGTTGACACCTACCTCAACTGTTCCTAATTGTGTCCTTCACTCATACGTATCACACCCCACATAATCACCCTTCCTACAATCCACTCCACCTGTCTAAGCAGCCGTTCTTTGTCATTTTTGTATCCTTGCGGTTTCTTTTTGGGAAAATCTGAGTGTTCGTTTGCCCCGAGGAGTTCGTTTTCTTTTCTCGCTCCAGTCACCGCCACGAGTAGCTATCTGAACTGTCGCGTAGGAGTAGGAGTAGGAGCAGGCCGTGGAGAACAAAGTTTGCTTTTGAGAGTAAGCTCTGCCTCCAAGTGAGAGAGATCGCCCAATGGTGACTCTGATTCCTCTGCACTAGGTGTGTGCTCGATTCTGTCAGAGTCACGTTCCCTCTTACTGGTGCTCTGACAAGGTTGAGATTGAGGGGTTGCTCCCCTGATGGACTCTGGGCTAGGGCATTGACTGTTGGCCGATGGAGATTGAAAAAGACTCAGTTTTGATGTCTCTAGTGGAGGTGGTAAGACACGAGATTGGGGTGGAGTGTAGGGGCTACCACCCAAGTGACCATAATTCAACTACCCATTACTGGAGAATAGTAACCCTGCAGAGACGGTAGCTATATATACATGAAGTACCTTATTATTAGTCACACAGTTTTACCAATGGAATGTATCCACAGAATGACAATTGAGACGGTGAGGTGTAAGCACAAAGTCGCCTGTGAAAATATTAGGTAATACAGAAGTTTGATAGAAGACTTTAGAGGATTTACGGTGAGTTAGTGTGGCCATCTCCTGTTGAAGGAGTCACACCCCCTGCCCCTGAAGCTATGACTGTATCGTTGTCCGACAGCACGGAAGAGATTGTATACCCTCCATAGAGCACACAGCCTGACAGTGTCTGTATCTCAGTCACTGGCTGGGGAGGACTGTAGGAGAATTACGGCAGTCAGATCTACCACAATGAGCTTGCTATAATTATAACAATGTATTATACACTGCTGGAAATTATATGCATATACAGTAGATACTAGGTGTTATGTGGACTTATATACCCAAAGCCACTGACAATGGGCTCGCATAAGTACGAATGGTATTATACACTGCTAGAAAGCGTAGCTATATAATACAGTACATTTACCTTGAAAACTAAACTAGGTGTGTGTTGTGGCATAATACTACAGTTACCCAGAGCTTTGAAACAGAGCACAGTGGACTCTCTCGATCTCTGTCTTCAAGTCTGCCACAGAACTGTTCTCTGGTATGACGACCTGGGAACGTAGATACACTTACAACAAGTGGTGGCTGAGATTATCACTCACGATGAATTTCTTTTCCAGGTAAATTACAGCTACTCTCATCTTTCGAGTATTATGGCCACGAGGAGGGACGACACGTACACAAACGCGCCTCCCTCGCTTGAGTGCGCATGCGCCAATGGGGGTGGTGTACGCATGCGCAATATTGCCGCGCGCATCTCAATAACTTCAAACACCTTGGGTACGGTTTTCACAAAATCAGATATTATGCAGATCATTGGAATAATGAGTTTAATTACAGGCCCAGTTGTTGTTCTCACTTTTCTCCAGATTTTTTTGATGCTTTTTCTATTGGTCATTCCCAGTTCAGCTCAAAGTAAGTCTATAATCTGGTAAAACCTTGAAAAACCTTGAATACTTCACTATTATATAATTTTGCGAGGCTAATAATCAGTGATATGTTTCATATTTTTTAGGTTGCACACAGTGTCTAGCTAAGAGAGAGGGTCTAGTGCACTATCCTACCACCCTTGCTCCACATTTTGGAGTAATAACTGTCAGTACAGAATGTGCCGACAATGCTGCTCTGGCAACTGGCTCTAGTCTGAGTGTCAGGTGTAGCTCTAGTGGTAGCTGGACTGGTACAACTCCTCAGTGTGAATGTGATACTGGATATCATGCAGTCACTGTCAGTGGGAGGCAGATTTGTCAAAGTAAGGTTTTTAGTAGCTACCATCTTTCAAATGATTTGCTCTGTTTTATATTTTAGATTCAACTCTATGTGCTGATGACGGTAAGCATCTTAAAAAGTAATCACAAATTTTCTGACTCACGTATTTACTTTATCCAGGCTGTCCTACTCTTGCACCATGTCCTGGTATGTCTCTTGGTGACTTGTTTCAAAATGACCTTAATTTAAGCTCATCTGTTCAGATAATGTTGTGTGCCAAGCAAGAAGTGTCGGTCTAGTTCGCTATCCTACTACACTAGCTCCAGCCAGTGGATCATTGACTGTCACTACACAGTGTGCTGACAATGCTCACGTCAGAACTGCCTCTAGTCTGAGTGTTGAGTGTAGCTATAGTGGTAGCTATAGTGGTAGCTGGACTGGAACAACTCCTCAGTGTGGATGTGATGCTGGATATCGTGCAGTCACTGTTAGTGGAAGTCAGATTTGTCAAAGTAAGCATTTTAGTATAGCTATTATCTTGTCAAATGACTTACTCTGTTTTCTACAGGTGTTAATACATGCCCTGCTAGAAATGTTGGTCTAGTTCGCTATCCTACTACACTAGCTCCAGCCAGTGGATCAGCGACTGTCACTACACAGTGTGCTGACAATGCTCATAGAACCAGTCAAAGTTTGAATGTCAGGTGTAGCTCTAGTGGTGGCTGGTCTGGTACAACTCCTCAGTGTGGATGTGATGCTGGATATCGTGCAGTCACTGTTAGTGGAAGTCAGATTTGTCAAAGTAAGCATTTTAGTATAGCTATTATCTTGTCAAATGACTTACTCTGTTTTCTACAGGTGTTAATACATGCCCTGCTAGAAATGTTGGTCTAGTTCGCTATCCTACTACACTAGCTCCAGCCAGTGGATCATTGACTGTCACTACACAGTGTGCTGACAATGCTCACGTCAGAACTGGCTTTAGTCTGAGTGTCAGGTGTAGCTCTAGTGGTAGCTGGACTGGTACAACTCCTCAGTGTGAATGCAACGATGGATACCGTGCAGTCACTGTTAGTGGAAGTCAGATTTGTCAAAGTAAGCATTTTAGTATAGCTATTATCTTGTCAAATGACTTACTCTGTTTTCTACAGGTGTTAATACATGCCCTGCTAGAAATGTTGGTCTAGTTCGCTATCCTACTACACAAGCTCCAGCCAGTGGATCATTGACTGTCACTACACAGTGTGCTGACAATGCTCACAGAACCAGTCAAAGTTTGAATGTCAGGTGTACCTCTAGTGGTGGCTGGTCTGGTACAACTCCTCAGTGTCGGTGCAATACTGGATATCGTGAAACTGGAGATGCTACTCAACGCATATGTGAAGGTTTGCATGCGCATTCTTACCAGTGTAGCTATCTAAATGATGACATTTTCAGCTATTCCAAGCTGCCCAGCTGGAAGTGTTGGTCTAGTTCGCTATCCTACTACACTAGCTCCAGCCAGTGGATCATTGACTGTCACTACACAGTGTGCTGACAATGCTCACGTCAGAACTGGCTCTAGTCTGAGTGTTGGGTGTAGCTATAGTGGTAGCTGGACTGGAACAACTCCTCAGTGTGAATGTGATGCTGGATATCGTGCAGTCACTGTTAGTAGAAGTCAGATTTGTCAAAGTAAGTATTATAGCAGCTACTATCTTTCAAACGACTTTCTCTGTTTTCCACAGGTGCCCCAACTACTTGCACAGCTAGAAATGTTGGTCTAGTTCGCTATCCTACTACACTAGCTCCAGCCAGTGGATCATTGACTGTCACTACACAATGTGCTGACAATGCTCACAGAACCAGTCAAAGTTTGAATGTCAGGTGTACCTCTAGTGGTGGCTGGTCTGGTACAACTCCTCAGTGTCAGTGCAATACTGGATATCGTGAAACTGGAGATGCTACTCAACGCATATGTGAAGGTTTGCATGCGCATTCTTACCAATGTAGCTATCTAGATGATGACATTTTCAGCTATTCCAAGCTGCCCAAGAAGAATTGTGGGTCTAGTCTACTATCCTAGCACACTGGCTCCTGATTTTGGGACTAAAGATGTGCTGGCACGATGTGCTGACAATGCCCGCCTAGTTGGCTCTATAAGTCTGAGTGTCAGGTGTACCTCAAGTGGTATATGGCCTGGTCAAACCCCTGAATGCCAATGTGATGATGGATATCGTGAATACACCGAGGAAAACAGACAAATTTGTCAAGGTATGGATTATATAGAGGAACTCTGTATTAGTTACAATTGGATTGCATGTCATTTAGCAATAACTTGTGGACCTAAGAACGTTGGTCTTGTTCATTATCCTACTACATTCGGGAAAAGATTGGGAGACGTGCAGTGTGTGGATCATGCCCACCAAATCACACCTGGCTTCACTGCCTGGTGCGACGGCAGTGGTAACTGGTCGGATGAGATCCTCGAGTGTGAATGTGATGAAGGATATCGTGTCGTCACTCAATACGAGAAGAAAATTTGTCAAGGTTAGCTTAAGGTTTTGCGTGCACCTACTAAAATGTTTGCCGTTTTGTATACAGCTGTTCCAAGCTGTCTTGCTAAGACTGTTGATCTAGTTCACTATCCTAATACACTAGCTCCTAGCAGTGTATCTAGATCTAAGACAGTCGCTGTACAATGTGCCGACAATGCTCATGTCAGAACTGGTTCTAGTCTGAGTGTCAGGTGCAACTATAATGGAAACTGGTCCACTGACGTTCCACACTGTGATTGCGATGATGGATATCGGCCAATATCTGAGGATAATAAGATGCTATGCGAAGGTTAATAATAAACACACATGTACAAAGCCATAATCTACCGCTATTTTTCTGCTTGTTTCAGCAACAGTTTGTGAAGCTAAGAGTGTGGGTCTAGTTCGGTATCCTGCTACATTTGGTGGCTCAGTGGCTGATCTGCAATGTGCTGACAATGCTCACAGCAACAGCTCCAATAATATGAGAGTTTTGTGTAACTCAATTGGTGTCTGGTCCGACCATAGCCTTCCAGAGTGCCTCTGTGATGATAAATATCGCATTGTCAACAGAAAAGGAGAAGGCATAATATGTGAAGGTTAGCAGTAAAGTAAAAAATAACAACAGGTCTTTATCGCTCGTAATATTACAGCTATTCCTAGCTGTCAAGCTAAGATTGAGGGTCTAGTTCGCTATCCCAACACACTAGCCCCGAAAATTGGATCAGATACTGTTATTGCAGAGTGTGCAGACAATGCTCAGAGAACAAGCACCAGTCTGAATGTGACGTGTCTTTCCAACGGTGAATGGTCTGGTGTGATTCCTCAGTGCGAATGTGATCTCGAATACTACAGAGCTACTATTAGTGACAAGCAGATATGTCTTGGTAAGATGAAGTATTACTATACCTAGCATGCATTCACCACAGTCTCAATTTATACTCTGTTTGATACATATAGCTATTCCGCCTACTCTGTGTGAGGCAATGAGTGAAGGTCTGGTTCGCTATCCGAATTGGATAGCTCCACTCGTTGGCACGGAGACTGTCGCTACACAGTGTGCTGACAATGCCCACAGAACCAGCACTAGTCTCAATGTCACGTGCACTTCTGACGGCATATGGTCTGGTCCGATACCTGTGTGTGAGTGTGATGATGAACACCACGTGTCAACCGCTGATGATGGAAGAGATATATGCAAAGGTTATAAATAGCTAAAGAGTTCCATTAAACTCGTAGTGTTGCAGAAGCCAGTTCTAGATTCACAACAGGACAACAGTAACCTTTTACTCAGTTTATGTTAGGGAGATTTCATGAACACGGGAGTGTGTTCATGAGACAATCACACGATTTACCCATTAATTAGCAGGGTTTCACTCTTTCTGCTAGGTCAACAGATTCTGCTGTCACTGTGCTGATCTGACTGATATGATAATCCGTTGCATTTACTCAGAGTTCATATACATTACCTACATACACGGCACATTTACCTAAGTAAACGATAAACACCTCCTGCTATCCCCCCCCCTCACTCTCCCTCAGGTGACAACTTGATGTTCACAATGATATCACTGCTAACTGTCTCGGGAGGAGCTCTCCTCATACTTTTAACCCTCATCACTATCACCATCCTCGCCATACGTCTGCTGAAGGTGTCCATTAAAAGACCTAAACACTCAGAGTCCTATGATCAACTTTGGGTACGCACGGCCAATAACTCTGGTGGCTTTCCTACTAGTAGTACCTTTGGAATGAGCAACATTATGGGGACTAGAGAAGATGATGAGGATGAGGAAGATTGTAGCCCAAGTAGTCAACCACCCAATAAAAGTTTAGAGACTCGGCTCGTGAGTACATCCAGACAAGTAGACAACATGGAAGGTGTTGTTTTTCCAAGCCATTTATGACGACAAAACACGTGGAAGAAAAGGAAGAAGACAGGGAAAATGGTGGTGGTTTACCGGGCCAGGTCTCCCCGGGAGTCGAAACGGAGGAGCCGAGAGACGGAGAATGCTTGGGCGATGCTACAAGCCAAACCACCGTGGAAAGTGCAGAAAGTTCAGAGTTTTGTGAAGAAGAGATAGAAGAAGAAGAAAGTGAGAATGAGGTTGGTACAGTGAGCCTGCAAACTGTCCCCATCACTCGGCAAGATAATTTGGGCTACGTTGAAGAGATATTATATGCTGAGGTTCATTGTCCTAGGAAAAAGGTTGACAAAAGAAGCGACCCCAAAGAAGCAGAGAGTGAAAATGACGATACAATGACTCAACCTCCACAACAACAAAGTGCAGCGGTAGCAGCAGCAGTGCCTGAGAGCAGAGAGTACGATGACATCGTGTCGAGCGACCGCAGGATAAAGAAGCCGAGAAATATCGAGGACGTGGAGGAGATTTATGATGTCGTTGTCAACCAGTTGGCCACTAGAAAGGACTCGACATCCACACCCACGCCGCGTGTCAAAGCATACGCCGTGTATACAGTGCCAGCTCCTTATGAAGTTCCCATTTCTACAAATGAGGCATATGCCCCGAGTGAAAATGTCCCAGTTTTAACAAATGCAGCGTACAAGACATGCGAGGAGGTAAAAAGTGAGGGTCATGCCTACGATTCAGTGAACTAAAACGAGACAGAAGTTTGTGACTGTACATGCTTATGACTAATGACAGTTTTACAACTGTACCTAACTCAATAATTGTCAGTAAGTATGCCTCCTGTTGAATGTAAGTTAATAGTGCAGGCTTAACATGTATGGCTGTCATAATTTGCATTGGAGTTTAAGACATAAATTTTTTAAAGCCAATTTTATTGAGAGAACACAGTAGTAGGACTGGACTCCACTACAATAATGTGTATCGTATAATTGTAAGCACTAAAGCAAACCATCACACAACAAACATTATGTTCAAACAGACACTCATCAGACATGTAGAGTGTGTTTTATTCCACACACCACAAGTTGGTAGGGGGTTATGGACATTCTGAGCAAACAACAAACATTATTGGTAGGACTTTCTAGAGCTATGTACCCAACCTGGTTATGATCTGTGCCTTGAAGTTTACCAATGCACCTTGTGCAGTTTACTTAGAGTTAGTATTATACGGTCACTAGTACCTCTTGCAGAAGCATAAAAGAAAGGCTGTGAGGTTCAAATGCTAGCAGCAAGTCTTCAGGGAGAGAGAATAGTTGTTGCAATAATGCAGATACTAAGTGTGAGTTTCTAACGATAAGTCCAGATAACATCATCAGACTTGCTTTCTTATTCAGTTGTGTGTGTTGGTGTCTCTAACACTCAGTGTATCCGGGGCTGAAGTAAACTCAGGTAATGTTTATGTGTGGTGCTGCTGTGCAAAAAAACACCCAAGAAGAGGCTAGTAATCTGGCTAACACAATTTGATCACGTTTGGTAAAATAATAATATTGAAGGCTTCCTCAGCCCTGCGTACTGCCATGGAATTTTGCAATAATTTTGCTGCCAGAGCTATGACGTACTTTAAGTCTCATGTCACATTATACTTCTGGTGATAATGTAGGCCTTGTGATCTAATCTGCCCCAGACCAAGGAATTAGACTAAAAGCTCTCCTTGTTCCATGGCTCACTCTTGATTTTCACAACAGCTCGCGGTGAATCTGGCAGACCTGGTAGGGAAGATGAACCTTTTCCACAGGTCTTTTCTCCTAAAACAATAATTGCTCATACAACAAATGCTCCTACAACAGGATTGTCCACATCACAAACTTCCACAGCAGGTTTTTCTACAACATCTCCAACAGGGGACCTATGTCTTTCCAACCACAATGATTGCGAACAACAATTTCATCGTAGAACGTATCCTACTGTGCGATCTACACCGTGCGATGAGTATGACTCACGTAGTGACTGTGTCACTCAACATTTTCCAACAACAACAAGACCTCCAACAACAAGACCTCCAACAACACGTCCTCCAACAACAAGACCTCCAACAACAAGACCTCCTACAACACGTCCTCCAACGACAAGACCTCCAACAACAAGACCTCCATCAGCAACTCGCCCACCACCTACCACAGCTACTACCATACGACCTATAGCTCGACCACCTACCACCACTGCATCCCAGACTGCTCGTCCACCTGCAACAACACACCATCTCACAGCACCAAGCCCTGCTACTTCCCTTGCAACAACCCAGCCCACAAATCCCACTACCACTCACCCAACGACAACAGCAATATCCTCCAATACATACACTAACAACACGACTTGTGAAGGTTTGCCTCTAAACATGTTTGTGCTATTATAGTTACTGCTGCTTTGTTACAAAGATTGTTCTGTGTGCGAGGCCACGGGCGTTGGTCTAGTTCGCTATCCTACTACACTAGCTCCAGCCAATGGATCTGTGACTGTCACTACACAGTGTGCTGACAATGCTCACGTCATCAACTCTACTAGTCTGAATGTCACGTGTACCTCTAATGGTACCTGGGTGGGTCAAACTCCTCAGTGTCAATGTGATGATGGATATCATGAAATCCGTGTTAATGGCACACAGATAATATGTCAAGGTAAGCATAAGAGCACGGAAAAAAAAATTTCATTACTACTTTGTCTCGGAACCTTCCAGTTAAGAGAGAACACACTCTTTTTTCAAATTGAGAGTGTTTAGATGTGTATACGCAATCAGTCTAGCTAACGTATTCCCTTACCCTATATTATTTTAGATGAAAATACACCGAGGCTCCATGATTTAGTGGAGCTACCAACACTGATTTCCGCATCAGTAGCATCTCTTTTTCTCGTCATATTATCTCTTACTACCGCAATTGTTGTAATTTGCCTGTGTCGAATGAAACACAACAAAAAGAAGCCAGAAGATGATGAACAAACTGGCAATGTACCTACGAAAGTGAAACGCAGCAAAGAGAAGCAAACTGGCAATGTGAAAGTGATTCCGTGCACTGTTCAGAATAAAATGGCGATTCCCGTGATGCCCAGCAGTGCGTATGCATTATACAATGCGTCGAGACACACCAAAGTCCCCGTACACTATAATGAGGCATATGCAGTGTTCAACGGAGTTAGACGTGAACATAAAGTTGCGGAAGATAGAAAAGATACAAGCAAACAGGGGAAGACACATACTGTACTTCCTTATGCAGTTTTTGAAATTATACCTCTACCACCTGGCAGAGTGAAGAAGCCAAAAGGTTTGCAACATGTTGCTATATACATACCCAACAAAAGATGTCCCAGTGTACCCGAATGAGGCATACTCCGTTTGCAAAGGAGTCAACACGTCAATAACTGCTCTGAGCCCCAAAGACTGTTGCCGTGATACCTGACGCCATAGATTTTTTAACTGTATCGTGTATTGTTTGTCCCTGCCCCCTCTTGCAACAACTTTTTTCAGTCAGTGTTTGTCTGCTATTGAAACAACAAGATTTTGTACTGAATATTTGTATAGTAGCTACTACGTAGATCGCTCTGCCACAATATTATACTAAAGAATTTGAAAAATAGTAAGAGATCAGTAGCATACAGTATTCACAATTATACATTATAGTCATGAGTGAGTGTGCGTTGATCAGTATCCATTGTAAGTGGGCGGGGTCGGGCGTGTCGGGACAGGTGGCTTGGGAGGAGGAGCCAGCGGACGCCCGGGCTTCTTGGCTGGCGACGGTTTCGAATCCATCGAAGAGTTTCCGAGTTGTGGTGGCTTTTGGTCCAGACTATACATGTCGACTGTGGTCTTGGTAGTGGTGGGTGTGTTAGTGTTCCTGCTGTGTGTGGCAGTGCTGGAGTAAGAACCACGTCGTCTGAAGCAGAAGACGACGATGAGAATGACGATTGTTGCCGTGGCGGCAGCCGTGACAACGAGAGTCACTATGAAGGTTAACCCAGCTGCTTCTCCGGCTGATAGACCTGACTCTGAAAAGGAAAGATAAATATCGAAGGGAAGTGGCAAGCACACATATTCTGTGCACCAAAGCTTATGTGCACGTACATGGAGCCTAGCCCGAAGAACCTTTCTCGCGCATGTGCAAGCTTGTGTTGGGTAAGGCCTCGCGCGGGCCCACCACGCGGATCCGCGCATGCGCGTACCAGATAGAAGAGGATCTGTGGTAAAGACTGTTGAACACCCCACAAGCAATTCCTCATGAGATATAATATGCTTCTGGTGAAACCTTGCGCGGCCCCCCACCGTGCACATCCGTGCATGCGTACTCTTATGAGTAGGCTAGGAGTGGCTGGCTATAATGTACTCTTGATTATTTACCATCAATGGCATCTTCAGTCCCTACCACCATCACCAGGTAGCGAGAGCCCAGCACCGTGATATTGGAGACACATTCTGGATCATTGGTAGCCGAGTTTCCTGACACGACCAAAATGGCGTACGGACTATTCGGTTTGAGGCTGGTGATTTCATACCTGCACTCTGAACTCTCTGCATTGCAACCTGTATATGAAAGAGAATTATTACGACTGCCAAAAACATTAAAGCTCTGGTGGTAACATCTGTCAGTGAATTTCTATATATGGCAAGGCGAAAAGCTCCAATCGCCAAAAAGTAAATATTCCTGTGGGCTGGGCTAATGAGGATGTGTCAACATCAGTTTGTCTTAAAACCCTCACTTTTATCAATCTGTTCCTCGTTCTGTCGACAAAAAGTTGGGTTCTGTCCCTCTTTCAGTTGGGCAGCGTACACGTCAAAGTAGAGGTTATCAGGATCTCCTCCTGAGTCAGTGGGAGGTGTCCAGATGGCCGTGATCTTGTTTCCCTCCAGCTGTGGTGGCTTCGTCAGGTCCAGTAGTGGGGCAGTGGGAGAGCCTGAATCAAATTGATAGCCCCCTTCAATTATAAGCTGGCAATTAGTTATTTACAGTTGAGAGAATGTAGAAAAGGCATAAAAGTGCTCATATAGAAAGTTTTGGGTCGTTTTGCTTCAGGCACTTTGTGATGCACAGAATGTATAACTTACGGACACATGGGTCATCAGGTCTGTCAGGATGACGGATGAAGTTGGCATCACACGGACACACTGCAGTTCCCTCGTCACGTGTGGAGCTCTGAGGAGGACATGGCTTGCATTCGTTAGTGTCACTGAGGAATGGCTGGTATTGCCTTTCCGGGCAAACTGGAGAGAGAAGAGGGAAAGAATACCTTTAGAAGGACGTAAAGTAATAGTTTGACCATAGTCTTGTTGAATAGCACAAATATTTTCTCTAAAATAACAGCGAGTATGGGCAGAGGCATAAACACAAACAGAGACTAGCTATCAATTTTCTTACTTTGACATCCATCCTTAGCCTGGTTGATCTCGTACCCAGGTCTGCACCCACACATTGGTGATCCTGGAACCCATGTCCCGTCACTACGGCAGTTCACTGTGTCTTCATCACCCATGACTCCTCCATTTGGCACACATGAGAAACTTACTGAAGCCTCACCAGACACCAGAGCAGGAGCATCAGGATAGAGGACCAGTCCAGTCTGAAATGACTTGCAATTTTCACGATAGATTCTCAGTCTTGATAGAGCTATACATGACCCAATGTCCTGGACAGCTATGTAGAAACCAGTGGAAGATGGTGGCAGAGTGAAATTGTAAGTATTGGTGTAAGTCAGTAAGGAAGTTGGTCCTTCTGGTACTGCAAAATTTTCATAATTTTGAGTATTCATATATCCATTTCCACTGGTACTGGGGAGCTGTTGTGAGTTGGTCATGTAGTGGAGAAGATTGAATCTTGGTATACAACCTTGCCTTTCTCTACAGCTCTGTACTGCATATGTTGCCTCCACATGTATGGTCACATCATAGTTGTAAATGTTTGAGTCAAAATCTGAACTGATGTGTTGAGTAAAGAGCCAGTTATTCTGAGTGGCTCCTTCTCTTCTCCATCCACAAACTCGTGTCTGAAATCGACATATTCCTCCAGCTCCTTGCTGCCACTGAAACATGCAGTATAATGTTTACACCTTTACTTTCTTTTGGTAACTCACATAAAATGGGTTCAGTGTTTCAGGAGTGACATCATTTCCATCAAAACTGAAGTCGTTCCAGACTGCAGTAGCTATGGGAGAGTTCCCAGTTCCATTTCCAGGTAAGAGGTTCTCATAACTGTAACTGTCCATCAGATTCCTCACATTCTCAGGGTATTGTGGGGGGTTTGAGTGATCAGTTGTACATCGTGCATCCTCATCTCCTGGAGCCTGGGCCCAGCAGAGTCCAGTGTATGCCACCACAACCAATAGGAGCTTCAATGCAGTGGCCATTTTCACCTGCAGCATGTATGCAAAGGTGTTGATGCTTTTTGGGCTCAATCAATGCACACATGCATGCAGTACACATAGCTCCATGTTATGAACACACACTCTGTGCATTAGTAGTGTGCATGTGGACATATTATGGCTCTCAGTAGAGTATGAGTGGTGAGTGTGGAGTGAGAGAGTGGGTGGCTATCGTGACTGGTGTATTCTGGATGTTGACATGAGCACTGGCAAACAGAAGCCAGTAACATCATATGGAGATAGGACTAAGCTGAACTAGCACTCACTCTCACCACCTATGTGCATGTGTAAACAAAGAGGTCTCTAGCCAAAGGCAAACCAAAGGCACCCAGGACAGCTCCCGAAAAAAGAGCTGCCCCAGGTTGGATTTGAACCCAGGACACTCTGCACTGCAGGCGAGCACTCTACCGCTGAGCTATCAGCAAGTATAGGTTCAGATCCACAACACAAGACAAAGGAAACCCGCAAACCACTGTTCTATGTGACAGTATACTCTCACTCAGCATGAGGTAAGAGAAGACCGGGCATAATGCACGCCCCTGCATAATCTTTTGAGCAGTCAGGAAGTGGCTCTGCTAGAGCATTTGATGGTCGTGTATGAAGCTGTACTTAGAGAAGCCCATCCAGCTATATGCCCTACTATGCACAAGTTAAGAGTAAAGAGTGGGCACTTTACTCATTCGCCCCTTATACTCAGTCGCCCACAGATTCCTGTTGCAATACAAGATCACACACACACGAACACTAGTATGAGTCACCCCCACATACATCTGTGTCCATGAGTTTTACCTGAATAGGTTGAGTCATAAATAACAAGAGGGGGCTATAGAGGGCATGTATGTACAAACAGCTAGATTTATGCTTTCATAAAGGATTTCCCACATCCTTCATACACCTAGTCAATAACAACCACGACACCCTTTAATACCCACCTACATCTGTGCTTGTGCTAAACTTAATACACCACAAGTGGTAGAGTTGAGTTAGGAAATAGTGGCCAACTGAAATTGGCACAGTGCACCCAACACATATGCTTACCTGGTAGGTTTGTTTACCGAAGCTACTGTCACAAGTTACTTTCATACTCGTACTATAGGTAAGGTATGAAAGCAAAGCAAGTGCAAAGCAAACCAAGACACCCAGGAGAGCACTTTCTCCCAAGGAGCGCTACAGTAGGTGGGATTCAACCCATTACACTCTGGGCTTGGACTCTACCAGGAATCTTAATCGGCTAATGATGTAGGTGCACCATTGGGCACTTAGCCTAATTTGGTGTATGAACTAAACAGTGCTGGAATTTATCCAGGTGCCTGTATAATAGGTACGCAAATAAACAGTAACATTTTTGTGGGATTGAAATTTCCTTTAAAACCCACTAAACTGGTGATAAACAGAGGATAAAGAGGTGATATAAGAAGGTGATAATCAATGAGCTTATCTGAGGTTGAAAACAGTAACAGTTTGGCATTTTGCTGCTAAGTATTATTTCCTGGGTGCCCCCAAGCATTTCGCACCCTTCGGCCTAGCTAGCTATATACCACGCATATTTGACTCGGACCGAAGGTTTATGTTTGAAAACCTCACTACACTTTAATGTTTAGGCTCTCTTGCATATGGTTTGGCTAGTAGTACCCAGCTGAAGTATTCGTTTCCTACGGGTATGAGCATTAGACGCCGAATTCGGACCAAACCAAGTGAATCAGACCACTGATCTCCCGTCGCCGACATAAAGCTAGCCAGCTAGCTGTTTATCCACCGCTGCAGCTAAGCATTGTATTGCTGCGACAATCGACTAACCTTTCCGTCTTAGATCTCCCAACCTATCCGGTTTAACACAGAACGTGGCTATCCTCTCCCCTCTCGAACGCGAACACCGGCTGTCTCCCTCGCGCGCTCCTCCCGGAAGTAAGTGGTGTACTATGGACTATACCGCAGCAGATATATAGCGGAAGCTATAATTATATACGGCGTGCCGTACGTCAGTTATACTCGTGCGCTAACGATCATCATTCGAGCTGTGCAGCAGAGCAGATAAGGAAGAAAGGAGCTTGGTGTTGCAACAGGAAAATCAGGATAAAGTAAGAGAAAACTAAATGTAATTAGTGAATCTAATTTCCATCAAAACTGAAGTCATTCCAGACTGCAGTAGCTATGGGAGTGTTCCCAGTTCCATTTCCAGGTAAGAGGTTCTCATAGTTGTTCTAGTAGTCATTCTACTAGAGCTGGCCATAGTTACAAGCTGAAACACCCCCTCGGTAGAAGTAACTATGAAAGGAACTTTTATTTCAATCGGATTCCTCGTCTATGGAACTCCTTACCTTTCTTCGATATAACTCTTTCTCCTTCTGCAATAAAATCCAAGTTACGAGCATATTTCTGGGATCATTTCATGTCCAACTTCGATTCAAACAATATGTGTTCATATCACTATCTGTGTCCATGCCCCAAGTGTTCTCAATTACCAGTCAAAATGCATTTTAATGTTAGTTTGTAATGTTTTGCGTTTGTTGTTGTTTTATCTGGCTGCTGGCTTATGCCTTCAGTCCATCAGCACAGTCTATGCATGTACTTCACCTTTTTTGTTCTTCAATTCTCGTTTTCCACCGCCTGTGTTGTAAAGCATAATAATAATAAATAATAATAATAATAATAATTGCTATTGGGCATGGCGGTTTTCATGTTGCCGGATAGCTAGTCATTTTCAGAAATGCTAATATGAAACTTTCAGCGGCAATAGCTGCACGTCTAGCTATATAGCTAGCTATAGCTATCCAGCTAAAGAGAGAATAAAGTTACGGCGTCAAATACTAGCTACACACACTTGGTCCGCTGCAAGCACTTCGCAGAGTAGCAGGACGTTAGTTGTGGCAGGCTGTTCTACTATCAATGTCAACCAATGTGATCTCGTTTGTGTAAACCCACACTTCCTGTATCGTAAAATTATAGTAGTGACCTCAACCGTTCATCCTTGTTGACCTAAGATGAGTGAATATGTGGATTAAGGGCAAGATTTTAGTTTGGCAAATCTTTTCCCTGCAGGTTATAATAATGGCCTTTGAAGTAAGGTCTCTGCTGGTCATTGCAGCTCTCACAGTGCTCTGCTGGGCCCAGGCTCCAGGAGATGAGGATGCACGATGTACAACTGATCATTCAAATCCCCCACAATATCCTGACAATGTGACGAATCTGATGGACAGTTACAACTATGAGAACCTCTTACCTGGAAATGGAACTGGGAACACTCCCATAGCTACTGCAGTCTGGAATGACTTCAGTTTTGATGGAAATGATATCACTCCTGAAACAGTGATGAGCCCAACTTATGTCAGTTACTTTTTACCGAAAAGGGGCTCTTTTTAATTTTGGTATACCTTTTCAGTGGCAGCAAGGAGCTGGAGGAATATGTCGATATCAGACAAGAGTTTGTGGATGGAGGCAGAATGAAGTCATATTTTCTCAGAATAACTGGCTCTTTACTCAACACATCAGTTCAGATTTTGATTCCAACATTTACAACTATGATGTGACCATACATGTGGAGGCAATTTACTCATTGCAGGATTGCAGAGAAAGGAAAGGTTGTATACAAAGATTCAATCTTCTCCACTACATGACTAACTCACAACAGCTCCCCAGTACCAGTGCAAACGGATACATGAATACCCAAAATTATGAAAATTTTGCAGTACCAGAAGGACCTGTTTCCTCAAAGACTTACACCAATACCTACAATTTTACTCTGCCACCATCTTCCACTGGTTTCTACATAGCTGTCCAGGACATTGGGTCATGTATAGCTCTATCAAGAATGAGAGTCTATCGTGAAAATTGCAAGTCATTTCAGACTGGACTGGTCCGCTATCCTGATGCTCCTGCTCCGGTGTCTGGTGAAGCTTCTGTAAAGTTCTCATGTGTGCCAAATGGAGGAGTCATGGGTGATGAAGACACTGTGAACTGCCGTACTAACGGGACATGGGCCCCAGGATCACCAATGTGTGGGTGCAGACCTGGGTATGAGATCAACCAGGCTAAGGATGGATGTCAAAGTAAGAAAATTGATAGCTAGACTCTGTTTGTGTTTATGCCTCTGCCCACACTCGCTGTTATTTTAGAGAAAATGTTTGTGCTATTCAACAAGACTATGGCCAAACTATACTTTATGTCCTTCTAAAGGTATTCTTTCCCTCCTCTCTCTCTCTCCAGTTTGCCCGGAAGGACAGTACCAGCCATTGCTGAGTGACACTAACGAATGCAAGCCATGTCCTCCTCAGAGCTCCACACGTGACGAGGGAACTGCAGTGTGTCCTTGTGATGCCAACTTCATCCGTCATCCTGACAGACCTGATGACCCATGTGTCCGTAAGTTATACATCCTGCACACATTGAAATGGGGAAGTTTCTGGATATCATTGTATATTTTGCATCACAAAGTGTTTGTTAGAATGAAGGAAAAATGACCCAAAACATGCCTTTCTACATTCCCTTCGCTGTAAATAACTTACCAGCTTATATAATTGAAGGGGCTATCAAATTGATTCAGGCCCTCCGGCTGCCCCACTACTGGACCTGACGAAGCCACCACAGCTGGAGGGGAACAAGATCACGGCCATCTGGACACCTCCCACTGACTCAGGAGGAGATCCTGATAACCTCTACTTTGACGTGTACACTGCCCAACTGAAAAAGGAACAGAAACCAACTTTCTGTCGACAGAACGACAAAGGAATTAATGGCAGTACGTTGCAATTATATATTAACAGCTCGCTTTACTGAACAAGATACTGATTGTTCCTGCTTCCATTGCATTTTCACACAGGTTGCAAATCTGAGGTAGGGACGCCAGAGTGCAACTATGAGCTCGCAAACCTCAACTCCAGCAGTCCGTATGCCATTTTGGTCGTGTGTGGAAACTCGGCTACCAATGATCCAGAATGTGTCTCCAATGTCACAGTACTGGGCTCTCGCTACCTGGTGATGGTGGTAGGGACTTCTTCTGTTGATGGTGAGCAAGAGCCATTCAGTTTACTATACTGCCTCATTTTTAGCCAGCTTCAAAGATGAGGTGTGTAACTAATTGCTTTTACTTTCTTATGACACACACAATGGCCTACAGTGTTTTACCTTAGCATATCTGGTGTTTGCAATGGCTTATGCATATCATAGTATTTACGCTTGTCTCTTTTTTATTGCAGTGCCAAGAGCAGGTCTATCTACTTGTGATGCAGCTGGGCTTTCCTTTATAATGACTTTCACTGTCATGGCTGTTGTTGTTTCAGTACTATTCAATGCATAAATAGAGTGATTTTTGTATCCACAGTATGTACTTTTGCACATTGAATCGACGATAACAAAAACGAGCAGTGCGCATGCGTATAGAATGGTTTCCACCCACATGCGCGTGGGCACACGCGCATTAGACATAGAGACGATAGCAGAGGATTGTACAGTAGGCGTTGGGGACAGCCAGACGGGCCTCAGGTGTGTTACAAAAGGTGAGCTATAGCTAGCTGCCGTCGGCTATCTACTCCCTCCCTTGTCAATAAAGTCCATACTGAGCTATAGCTCAATTTCCAAAGTGCCCTGTTAGTCTAATGCGATGATATTGCGCTCTTAGAGACTCCTTATCCCAAGCTCAATCCATCGTTTTATTCTCTGTTCTAACGCTATGGCTTTACTATTCAGCCGACCAGGCACATAGGAACTATAGCTATGTAGCTACGTGTACAGTTAGAGGCTAAGGGGCTCCTGTAGCTATGCTATCTATGTCTGCAGCCACTTCAGTGCTGGAACGTTTGCCTGAAATCCACCAAGTGTGGAGTGGGAAAGTCTTTGAGCTAAGTTGCACCTTGAAAGAGCTGCACTGTCTAGCCTGTTTTGAAACATCTGTGCAGCCATAAGTCCAGGGCTTCAAACAACATTCATGTTTTTCAACAGGACAACATACACCAGAGTATCACACTTGCTGCTTATAGACCATAGGACTATATATAGCTTTGCTGTAGTGAGTGTGTCCACAGTGTGTTCGAGTGAGCATTTTGTTATTGTTTTACCTCATAGCTAAACAAGTCTTTGTGCAACTTTGTATTAACTCATCCTACATTTTTAGCCATGGGGACATTTTTCGTTGAAGAAAGGGTGTGTACTTGGCAAAGCTAAAACAACGGCCTACAATAGACCAAGCATTTTGGAGCATACGGTTAGTGGGCATATGTACTCAGAGAACTGGGCAGTCCATGCTACTGTTCCGCTGTTGTGTTCATGGCTGAAGGATGCCTACTCAACTGTAATAGGTGGGCGTTTACTGTGCGTAATAATTATGTCACGCTGGCCCATAAATATTAGGTTTACTTTAGTAGTAGTAGCTACTCCTGTAAACTCTCCCACTAATGTGGAAGTGCATGTAGCATGATTCCATAGACTTAGCATAGTGTGCAGTTGAGTCTCGTTTGTTCTCCAGAGGGGCTTTTCCTGCTAAGCTCCATTCAGCGGCTAATTGACTGTAATGAGTGGCAACAAAATGCTAAAAGGGGACGTGAATGGCGTCAAAAGCAGCGAGAGGGTATTTTTGACTCTCTAACACATGTAATTTGTTGCAGCAGGAACTAGCTTATAAGCTATGTACAAAACGCTACAGACACTATATAGCTATCAGTTATATGCTAATCAGGCACTAAATTACAGGGCAATAAGCAACTCCTCAATTCTAATGCAATCAATTTGGTTAGCTATGTGCCTAGTCTCCCATATTAAAAGGTATTGTTACAGTAAGAGGTATATAAGCATGAGCTAATAAATCCCCATGGGACCTATATGTAACACGAATCATGTTGCAAGCTGGACTAAAGTAATCATAGAGGAAGATATATCAAATTAGCGTGGGACGAGAGACGTTGTGATCTGTGCTGTAACGCGACTACCCTTACCATGTAACCTTATATACTGGACCATATGGAGTCTGTAGCCGTGCAATACTTAAACCCTATTCATCGTTTGCCTAATAAACATATCCAGTACATTGAGAACTTTGAGAAACTGGTTAGCTATTGATTGTGTTATGGACCGGGTAATGCATGTAGTTGGTGGTGCTCAATACTTAAAGGAGTTAGCCTATTCATACGAATAGCATTAGACACAAACATAGGAGAAGAGGACGAGCGTTGTTTCCATTGTGTCAGAAGCTGGACAATAGTAAGACTTGGTGCGATGGCTAAGTTTAGGCTCTTGGCTATTGTTAGAAGAAGTGTCTACAAATTCTTGGTCCAAAAACCTTTGGCAGATAACTAAGACTTATTAATGTCTCCATAAGTATATACCAACATGTCTATGCAGTACTAATGACAGTAGTATTATGTGCCCAAAAACATTCCATGACTGCATATTGTACGTGCCTTTAGTATAGAGCGGGTGCACATGTGTTTAGGCTAGTGGGTAATTGGCTGTCTTAGAAAGGCAAGGACATACTTTGGCAGCTGGTCCTAGAAACGTTGACAACTCAGCCACCTACACACTCCGATGCTGCCTCACCCATAGTCTTGAGTCTGTAGACATTCAATACTTCCTCCTATAGCGGTATATACACAGGAAATGATTATGATGTAATGCTAGTCTCAAAGTGTATAAAGTGTGTACTAAGAATGACATCATGGTGTGGGTATGTACACTGATTAAGTGTCATACAGAGGCCAAACTGACACAGGCCAGGGTGAACACATGTAGCTACAGCAACCGACATACGTGTACATTTCAATGCTGGACAGAACAGGGTGGCTAGGACTGTTAGCCATGCACATTTACCTATGACTGTGATTATTACCTACATATTATCACTGCACTATTCATGAGTATTCAACTGCTATTAGACACCATTGAATAGTACAGTAGGTGGGAAACCACACACCATGCCGCTTACACTGTGCCTTTCCCATGTACACAAACGCTATCGGCATATGGACAAAGTATTCACAAGACTGAGTTTATATATATACTGCTATATACCTAAACTCTTTGTATCAGGCTGTCACATACTGTATTATAGCCACTAGTACAATGCCGTGTAATTGGAGGGGCAAAGTCTGTAGCGTGATTCTGTGGTGATTTTCATGCATGCATATGCACTGTGCCAAGAGAGCCGAGATAGGATCGCCCATAAGACATATGCACTGTGCCGAAGGAGCCGAGATAGAATCGCCCATAAGACATATGCACTGTGCCGAAGGAGCCGAGATAGGATCGCCCATAAGACATATGGTGTAATATGGTTCTACTTTGTTATGCAGGATGGGATCTCTTGGTTGTGATTTGTTGCTGGCGACTGTACTACTGGTTTCTGTGGGAGAGCTATGGGCCCAGGCTCCGGAGATGAGGATGCACGATGTACAACTGATCACTCAAATCCCCCACAATATCCCTGACAATGTGACGAATCTGATGGACAGTTACAACTATGAGAACCTCTTACCTGGAAATGGAACTGGGAACACTCCCATAGCTACTGCAGTCTGGAACGACTTCAGTTTTGATGGAAATGATGTCACTCCTGAAACACTGAGCCCAACTTACGTGAGTTAGCTAAAAGAAAGTAAAGGTGTAAACATTATACTGCATGTTTCAGTGGCAGCAAGGAGCTGGAGGAATATGTCGATTTCAGACACGAGTTTGTGGATGGAGGCAGAATGGTGTCGTAGTTTCTCAGAATAACTGGCTCTTTACTCAACACATCAGTTCAGATTTTGACTCCAACATATACAACTATGATGTGACAATACACGTGGAGGTAATTTACTCGTTGCAGAGTTGCAGAGAAACGACAAGGTGTATACAAAGTTTCAATCTTCTCCACTACATGACTAACTCACAACAGCTCCCCAGTACCAGTGGAAATGGATATATGAATACCCAAAATTATGAAAGTTTTGCAGTACCAGAAGGACGTGTTTCCTCAAGGACTTACACCAATACCTACAGTTTCACTCTGCCACCATCTTCCACTGGTTTCTACATAGCTGTCCAGGACACTGGGTCATGTATAGCTCTATCAAGACTCAGAGTCTATCGCAACAAGTGCAACTCTCGTCGCGTTGGACTGGTGGAATATGGTGATGCTCCACCCCCTGCATCATCTGACTTAAAAAGCCCTGTTGTTCCCGTCTCTTGTGTACCCAACAGTTTCATCAGAAATGATTCTGGTCTAACTAACAGAGTCAGCGACAATGTTACCTGTTTCTCTAATGGAACCTGGGGACCTGAGATTCCTCGGTGTGAATGTAACTGTGGCTATGAGGAAAGTCCCTCAACGGACCCGTCAGGGTTCACCTGCACCAGTAAGTACGTTGTGACTGCATTATTTATTATGAGCAACTTTCTGAGATGGCTTGTAGCATAACAACAGTCAGGAGGAGAATTTAAGGGGGGAGTGCCCCTGCCCCCTATATGAACCCCTGACAATACAAACTGCCATTGTGTGCATGGTGGAGTAGCTTTTTGAAGATCTCAGAGGATTGTGTTGAGTCTAACTTCTTCTTCCCCAGCCTGCAAGCCTGGCTACTACAAGTCGGAAGGCGTGGAAGAGTGTGTGGCATGCCCCGAGAACTCCAATTCCACCACTGAGGGATCCTGTGAATGTGATTGTGACAATTTCTTTTGGAGACATGGGCCTGAGAATGAAACTATTCCCTGCACAAGTAACTTTATTTTCTAATTCCCGGCTTTCTATTTACATGTCTGTGTCTTTCCTGTCTATAGCTTCTCCGAGTAAGCCCCAAAACGTGAGGGGCGAACCGACAAACACAACACTCACGGTTTCCTGGAATCTGCCTGAATCAGACGGCGGTAGAACGGATGTGTATTTCAACCTGTCAATCTGCCTAGTGGCCAGCTCCACCAACGATTCCCAAGTCTCTGAAAAAGGTTTTGCAGGCAAGTTGGTATAGTGGGGGTCATATTATTATGTGTTGCTGAAGTAGTAAAAGTAGTAGTAACGTTGTTGATCTTTTGGTGTATTTACAGGGCACAATAATATCGCAGAGTGTCAAGAAGAATCGCAACTCCAGTATATAAAGGTCCTGGGCAAGTTGAAAACTGTTTTGTTAGGTCCTTAACTGTTTACTTTGTATGTATGTATGTGTGTGTTGTGTAGGAATGTCTTATACATTTAATGACCTGAGACCAGTGACGTTGTACCGGATTGTGCTCCACTCAGAGAATGGAGTTAGCCACAGAGATGATAGGGTTCATCTGAGACGAGTGGAAATGAACATGCCCACCGAAGAAGGAGGTTAGCTGTACACCAAGCTGTATTTTATAAAACCGAGTTTTGTGTACAAATCCGAGATTTTAGCATGTTTGCAATATCGTGATCAGCATTTTATCTCATCGTCAAATTATCAAAAGATGTCACACTTTTCCCCCCAGAACCCGAGGAAGTGTCTAATCCAGCCACTGTCAACAATGTTGTATTAGTTTGGGGTCCGCCCCGAGTTCCTAATGGCGAAATCACTGGTATGTTTTAACAAACTGTTGCGGAATGCAAATTTCGACCAAATGCCCGAGTTTTCATTTACTGACCTGTAGCCATGAGATGTTTCCATTTTTGCTATTCCACTTGAAAGCTACAGGCCCTACTGGTTTACCTTTGCATTTAGATAAGTCAAAATTCGCACCCTATAGCATAACTTTGCTAACAATGATGTGTAATAATAAATAGTTCTACAAACATGTTGAAAGGTTATCAGATACGGCTGCGGTTCAGTCCAGTCTATGTGGGAGGAATTGGTGGTGGAAACGAGGCGGAGAGTGGCGCCGGGAACGAGACGACTTCTCTTGAGCCTGCCGTGAAAGAAGAGGACCAGTGTGCGAATGTTCCCGACTTCTACGACGAAATTGGACCACACACTCTCTATTTTGTGCTCGACAGCTCTGTGCTACCTAACTGCTCGCATAATCTAACGTTCAGTGTGAGTATCTGCTACGTTTTTCTGATTAACCACAGATAGTTTCATTTGAAGACATTCGTCCAGTACCAATGTGTAATTTGGTATGATTTGTGGGTTTTTTTCCCCTCAGATCCGTGGAAAGACAGGGGAAGACAGGTATGGGATGTGGTCAGCGGATCAGACAATCGGTTAGTGATGAGTACATAGTATTGCATGGGTGATTATTTGTGTTTTTCCACTTTAGTGCCAGAATTTGTCTGCCCAAGTGTTCCACGTAAGAACTCTCTTTCTTTAGCCTTTCTTTTCTACCTTATACATGCTTAAATTCATGTATATGTATTCATCATCTGATTTTCACTGAGTGCATTTTTCTCTGTAATACAGGATGTGAAGAATGCCCTTCGCTGGACTGTGATGCAGTATCATTCCCCACATCCATTATATCTCCCACGGAAACTACCCCGACCACTGGGCCCACTGCAACCACTTCCCCGACCACTGGGCCCACTGCAACCACTTCCCTGACCACTGGGCCCACTGCAACCACTTCCCCAACCACTGGGCCCACTGCAACCACTTCCCCAACCACTGATAAACCATCGGCTAGCACTGAGGACCCATCAGTTGAGACGGAGCAGGAACGCTCCCAATCCGACCTAGAGCGCTGTGCCTACCACATGGCGGGCAGCGCCGTGGCTTTCTCGCTCATAGTCGGGTTTCTCTCAGGCGGGTTCTCGTGCGCTATAGCCTGCGTGTGTCACAAACACAAAATGAAGACCTACAAGATAAGAGTCAAGAAACACTTGCAGAGCAAGTGGGATTACTGAGGTATATGTAATTATAGATACTCTCATGTTGTCTGTATATACAGAAGTTAAAGTCTGTTTTTATCTACAAATTTATGTCGTGTAATGAAATTTGTGTTATTTTTTACAACGAGTAACATTTATTCTCAATGCTGGCTCGCTAATGTCAGTTGTATTGTGATTAAAAATACAAACAAGTAAAAAAATGCATGGAAAACTACAACCCTGTTTTAACTGGTGCCAAGGAATACTCGTTACTGCTAGTAGCGGTGGTCCTGAGTTTCCTTTTAAAGCCCACCACCACCAGTATGAGGACGACAGTTGCTAAGAGTCCCATCCCTGTGGCAGTCGCAGCAAACGTGATCAGAACAGCAGCAAGAGGAAAATCACAGCTGGTGGTGGTTGTCTTGGAGAGACCTCCTGTGGGTAGGAAGTGGTGGAAAGAGGATCTAAGTTCAAAGACATGTATGTGTAGCTTGATAGCTTTTATAGTGGAGAGTTTGTTTTGAGTGCTGTGCTAACCCACACCCATAATACATAATATTACTAGAACGGATGCGTGCAATGTTATGGTAAGGATGGCAACATTGAATGCAACATTCATAATAGAAGCCACACATCTAGGTAGGCTGCTTGCAAATTACACACACATAATCGTTTTGTATTAATTGAACCCTTACCTGTGCCTCCCACTTCAGGGCAGTTGTTGGTGGTAGTGTTGTTGGTTGACTGTGTTGGTGGAGCACTTGGGGGCTCATCGGTAGGAGCTATTAGATGGGTAGAAGATGGGCATCTTTAGAGCAAAGTTATCGAGTTATGGAAGCTATTAGGTTTGCGGCATTTTTTTGGGAAGCAAATGCTATTAGAGAGCGACACAACACGAGATCTAAGTGTGTTAGTGCCATGTGGTTCATTTTCAAGTGTAGCAGATTCATCAATAGCTGACGATAACTACGTACGATGGGTACCTTTGTTGCAGATGGTATAACATGGATTTTGTGGGGCATATGATGTATATCTCCAGTTCCCTATGCTGGTATATTATACCAACCTGTACAAGCACTGGCTTTCTCAATGTAGTAGTCGATACATTCACACTGAGGCTCCTCGCCGCCCCAGACTCCATCCGAAGAACACGTCACCTCCAGACTGGGGCCCAGTGGTACTGCATTCTCCACACACTCAGCTGTGACCCGCTTGGCAACAGACCCCTCCCCCTGGGGAGCAGCTGTGGCGGGGTAGCGTACGAGGCCCACTGTCTTCTCTTCACACACCGTGCACCCTTTATTGGAGAAAATGCAGTCGCAGTTGGTTCTCACTTCTCAAAAAAGGGAGATAGATTATAGGAGGGAACACTAGTAGATAGCAAGGTTGTACGGAAACCTGTTTGGGAGTTCTCCGTTATAATGCTAAGCACGGGGTATATAGCTCATGGGACGAAGTGATTGTGTCCACAGTGGTGCTCACTCTGTGGTTCTGCGGAGCAGATGTCTGGATTGACTGTCAGTTGGCACAGGCTCTCTCCGCTTCCTGCACTGTTTATGGCCCTCACCTGCAAACAGCACACGTCACATGCACAATTACACTCCTTGATTGTAGCTATAACGCTGAGTCAACACATCAAAGTGTGTACTTTAACACGCTTGCTTCCGGTGTGAGATCCTGATGTGCTGCACTCACTTGGACTGTGAAGCTTCCAGGGCCCTCTGGCAACGACTCTTCATTTGCAGCAAAGAATGTCTGCAGAGCGTTTGTGGTGGGAGTTTTGGTCGATCCATTTCTGGTTAATGTCAGCTCGTAGAGTAGAATGACTCCATTGGGTCTCAGCGGCTTTTGCCATAGCACAATTGGGTAGATACTGATCAGGTTGCTCACTGGTCCTGGCTCTGAAAACACACACCACAAGGGTTAAGATGCATCAACGAGGTCAATAAGGTAAAGGCAAAGCAAAGGCAAACAACGCAATTACACCTAAGACTGTTTCTGTTCCATGTGATTCGAACCCACAACATTCTGTACTCTGGGCGAGTGCTCTATATAATACCAACTGAGCTACCAGGGCAACTCCTAGGGGTTAAAATCTACAACACAGGGCAAAGGTGCATGAGTAGTTTGGTTTGTATAATATAGAAAGTTTCAATGTACACAGTTTCTGTGTTACTTTTCAGTAGAAAAAGGTTGGGGAATTTGCTCACCACTTTCCAGTGTATCTCCACATTGTGTTGTTGTTCTGAGCTCGCTTTTCCCGGGGTCCTGATCACTGACTCCATTGTGGGCTGTCACTCTGACACAGTACTGAGTGTGTGGTCTTAGGTCAGAGATTGTCCTACTGGTGGTACTTCCACTGAGGAATACTGTCCCAGTATATGACCCCAGGTTGTCTGGGTCACTGATTTCCAACTGATAGTAGAGATCTCTCCTCCCACCAAGGTCTGCTGGATCTGACCATCTGGCAGTTATACTGCTCTGTTGGGGACTCAGTGAAAGGCTGTGTGGAGGACCCGGAGGTTCTGAAATGAGAATCAATCACTCGTGTGCAGTGTTCCCTTATGCGAACTTACTCGTACAGTCGTTACTGGCCGTTTCAGTCGCTTCTTCAACAAACCTGAGAGCTTTGGGGTGAGTGTGGGTCTCGGTGTTTCTGAAGTAGCCATCAGAGCAGAGGCACACTGCGGCAGCTCCCCGAGGACTCACAGTGTTGGCAGGACAATCCTGGCACTCTGCATGTTCTTCTGACCTGAATTGACCAGCTGGACATGCTGCAAACAGACGATCATAAAATTCAACATCAAGGCATTTCGCAGCACTCTTTAGCAGCCCCAACTCTCAGTCCGAGAACGCTCTATGTATTACTATGTTCCATTGTTCAAGGGGGTGCACATAAATCATGTGTCAATGAGGTCTCAAGGCAAAGGCTAACCAACCAACACAATGTCACCCAGGACAATTCTTTTCCCAGGGAAAAAAGGGCTTTAGCTACGACCCTAGGTAGGATTTGAACCCATGACACTCTGCAATTAAAGCGAGCATTCTACACACCAATTACTCAGCTAGGTTAACACAAAGGAAACCTCAAACCACTGTGACATACCATTGCATGCAGTTGTATTTGTGACATATCCAGGTCTACACCGACACACAGGATTCTGAGAACCCCATGTTCCATTACTGAAACATGTGACTTCTGAGCTTCTAGAGACCACTGCATTCTCAACACAACTGATACTAATATTTGTTGAGCCAGACACTGGAGCAGGAGCATCAGGATAGAGGACCAGTCTATCCTGACGAGACTTGCAGTTGTTGTGATAGACTCTCATTCTTAAGATAGTTAAACACGACCCAGTGTCCTGGACAGCTATGTAGAAACCAGTGGAAGATGGTGGCAGAGTAAATGTAGAGTTTTTCATAGTTGTTCTTGGGCCTCTTCCAGGAGTGTTTTCCACAGCAAAACTTTCATAGTTTTGGCGGTTCATGAATCCTTCTCCTTCAGTGCTCGAAGGCTGACTTGTATTAGTTTCATACTTGTATAGGTCAAACCTACGATTACAGCCTCCCCCAAACTCATCCAGACCTTTGCAGTTTGCTACTCCAAAATTGATATCTACGTGAATCTCCACGGGGTAGCTGAAGGTGTTTGGATCGAAATCTCCCTGACTGATGTGTTGGGTGAATAGCCAGTTATCCTGTCTATCTCCTTCTCTATTCCAGCCACACACCTGAACATTCCGCCTGCATTCTGAGGTCCCTGTTATCGGCTCCCACTGTATAGTATATAGATCACCATGTTACAGATGACATTATGAGATGATCAAAACAATGCTCTGGTGGAAGATAACATTCAAACTGGGAAGGCTATTAGCATAATATTTCGGGTTGCCAAGGTTAGAAATTGCCAAGTTTATGCGAATTTAGTACTCGTTATAAAAAGTAATAAAGTGTAGCAGGACATAAATCTTCCACACACTACCCCCTCTAGCCTAAACTCACGGAAGGCTTATCATTCATCGGATCATCGTTCCCATCGAAACTGAATTCGCTCCAGACTGCAGCACCGGTAGTGGAAGGGCTCTCTGGTAGAAGAACCTCGTGGGCGTAGCTGTCCATGAGCTGAGTCTCAAACTCAGCCCTGGCGTTGGGACCGACATCAATGCAATTCTCGTGAGGAGCGTCTGCTCCTGAGCAGGGCAGCAGAAGTGAAGCAAGAGAGAATACCAGGCATACCTGGATGGATAACATTGGTAATGCTCTAGCTAGTAAATAGCTACGCAGCAAGAGATAGTTTAGGATACGTAGCTATAGAAAACATTTCGACACTCACCCTGGCCAGGTTCGTCGCCGTGACCATTGCCGCCAAGAGATGATCCAAATAGCGTGCTTCAGCTTGCGGCTCTTTTGTACGTGGTTAGCTCCGCAGTCTTTGCTAATTTTCCAGGAAATGAAGCGCTTTCAGTGTCCGAGTAGTGAATGACCTTGTAGACGTTACCAATCCGGAAATAATATCGTGGGCGCGGGTATTCCCCTCTCGGCTGCGTAGGCGCCGCTGCGTACTCATTGATTTCCGCTAAGTCTAGATTACAACAAAAAAGCATAAAAGTAACAATAACATCAGTAAGGTAAAACAAGTACATTTTTAGCTATAGGCTAAATAACACCACGAAATTAGTCTTTCAGTCATACAGTTTCTTCTCCTCCATGGTGTAGGTAGCATTGGTCGTTGATAACTTGCTGCCGTACTTCTTCTTCCTATAGGATCCGACCATGAGACAGATGACGCAGGTAAGGAAAAACACAGAGGGCCCCGTGACCAAAAAAGTCATGGCTAGCCCGATACTGAATTGAGTTGTTGTGAACTGCTGTTGGTCTTCCTGTTGCCCTTGCTGCTGTGCTGCACACAGACCTGCAAAAAACTTAACAATTTTGAAGAACAAGGCCTCCATTGGAACAAACCTTTAGTGTCTATGCTGATAGAAGCATGGTTATTTTGAGTACCTTCATTGGAACTACCAAGCAATGCAGCAATCTAAAAAACACAAATATTTTATATATCTATCTCTGCAGTTGTAACAATAGGTGTCACACCTCAAGAGTTAGGGTTTTATCCTTTATCTTGCTGTCGATTAGACTGGCTTTGTACAAGTTGTTGTTGACTGTCGTGTTGATAATGTATACACCCTTCTCATGCATTCGCACAGAGTACTGCCGAGCACCATCAACTGGCGACCAGGTCAGGATAAGGTCAGTGCAGTCTTGAGTGACGCTGGCAGTAATATTCTCTGTAAGTTGATAGTTCACCATACATACATGATGTAAAACTCAGAGCAGGAATACGTGTATATGCTAAAAAGACTTGTGTAAAGCTCCACATTTAATCTATACTCACTTACCAGGACAGGTAGGGCACTTTGCAGCATCTGCAGATCAGTAAAAATATTTTAATCAATTTTTCTTGAATCGATATTTTTATTTATACTACTAGGTAGAAAAAGAAAAACAAGTGACTTACCTATGCAAGTCCCAGCATCAGTGGGTTTGTAGTTGTCAATACATTTGCACCGAAGCTCCTTGTTAACCTGCCAGACACCTCCAGAGCAGCATGTCACCTCCAGACTGGAGCTGAGTGGTACTGCGTTCTCCACACAGGCTGCAGTCACATTGACACATTCTCCTCCTTCATCAACTGTAGTCTTTGGATAGCGGACAAGCTCCGTTGTCATCGTCTGCTCTGGACACTCATTACAGCCTGCATCGAAATGCAAGTTATGGTCTCTCTATAATATGTGCACAGCATTGTACAATTTGTGAGCGAAAGAGAAATGGAATACCGCCTGAAACACCAGCTAAAGCCCCTTCTTTCCTCTTGCAGTTACAGTGCTTGATTACATATAGTCACATGCGTAAACGGATTGGGAATGTTGATAATTGTGTGCAACGCTCCTTTGCTCGTGTACATGTGCTGTTGAATCCACACCCAGTGTTCTGAATACGTGGTCTATGTGCCCCATGCCTACGACTTCTCACCGAAAATTGTACACTGAGTTTCGCCGTTTTCATTCATGTCTGCTCTAATTTTACAGATACTCTCTCCGGGACCAGCTTCATTAAACGCCACCACCTGCAGACAGTATCCATTAGTTATACATAGCTATATATACTAGAACGAATGAACACATGTTTGGTGAGCGAGTGTCAATTTTTCATGCATATCATAGACAGTAGCTATGTGCCCAGCGCCCATCACATATAGAAAATTCCTGCATTCAGATGACTGGGTATGATCGCTATGCTCCTCAACTAACTTAAAAAAATGGAAAAAGCAATAACACTTACCTCCATAAACAGGGTACCAGATACTCCACGTAACTCTGGGGTATTTTCCAATACGAGGAAAGACTGCTCCCTACGAAATCTTTTTATTTCCATGTCGTTCTTCCTGACGATCACTTGATACTGGTCCAGCTCACAATCTCTCGGCGTCTCAGGCCGCTCCCACACTACCACCTGCTCAAAACACTGAAGGTCTTTGACAGGTCCAAACCCTACGAGTGTAAAATTTTAAATGCCCATCATAAACATGGTTATGTTTCTGCCTATAAATAAGCAGTAGAACCCAACCCCCGGGTCAACCTGTGCTAAAGCATACCAGAATGACTATATAAAGCACATAATATTGGTAAGAAATGTACATTCCAGCTAATAAAATTTGTTTGCCATCCTATAGCCTCAAAATATTTTCTAAAACAAAATTCGTATAAGGTATCATCTTTTAACTGAATATTGGTACTTAAGGGGCCGTCTTCCACTTGCCAATCATGGTTAGAGTTGAACCCTTACATCCTCTACAGTTGGACCCTTACATCCTTCCTCTGTTCTGATGCATTGTGTCGCAGTCCTGCTGTCTTTACTAGTGGGGTCCTGGTCGCTGACTCCATTCTCAGACGTCACTCTAACACAGTAGTCTGTGCATGGTCTGAGGCCAGTGAAAATGCGCATTTCCGTGGACCCAGGGACATACACTGTCCCAATGTATGACCCCAGGTTGTCTGGGTCACTGATTTCCACCTGATAGTAGAGATCTGCTGTCCTCCCACCAAGGTCTGCTGGTGCTGACCATTCGACAGTTATACTCGTGTTAGTTGCTGGCAGTAACACATCACTTGGAGCACTAGGAGGTTCTGAGCATGGAAATAAGTTTTTACGTGGATTAAATTCAGTGTTCTTTTGCTTACTTGTGCATCCGTAGGTGAAATCTTCATCAACAGGGCTTTCATATTGTCTCTTTTCTGTTGAAGTTTCATTGTTTCTGAAGTAGCCATCTTTACAGGGACAGGAACAAGCAGCTTCCTGGGTTGTCCTAGTATTGGCAGGACACTGCCGGCACACTGTACCGTCTGACCAGTGATCAGCTGGACAGGCTATTACAAAAGAAAAAGTGTATCATAATAATTATTATATTTTCAAAGAGATATCCTTACCATTGCACCTTGTAGCCCCCCTATTTGGTTCATAGCCGCATTTACACTGACACACAGGGGTCTCAGGACCCCATGTTCCATTACTGAAACATGTGACTTCTGAGCTTCCAGAGACCACTGCATTCTCAACACAACTGATATCGATATTTGCTGAGCCAGACACTGGAGCAGGAGCATCAGGATAGAGGACCAGTCCAAGCTGACGAGACTTGCAGTTGTTGCGATAGACTCTCAGTCTTGATAGAGCTATACATGACCCAATGTCCTGGACAGCTATGTAGAAACCAGTGGAAGATGGTGGCAGAGTGAAATTGTAGGTATTGGTGTATGTCCTTGAGGAAACAGGTCCTTCTGGTACTGCAAAATTTTCATAATTTTGGGTATTCATGTATCCATTTCCACTGGTACTGGGGAGCTGTTGTGAGTTAGTCATGTAGTGGAGAAGATTGAATCTTTGTCTACAACCTTGCCTTTCTCTGCAACTCTGCAATGAGTAAGTTGCCTCTACATGTATTGTCACATCATAGTTGTAAATGTTGGAGTCAAAATCTGAACTGATGTGTTGAGTAAAGAGCCAGTTATTCTGAGAAACTACGACACCATTCTGCCTCCATCCACAAACTCGTGTCTGAAATCGACATATTCCTCCAGCTCCTTGCTGCCACTGAAACATGCAGTATAATGTTTACACCTTTACTTTCTTTCAGCTAACTCACATAAGTTGGGCTCAGTGTTTCAGGAGTGACATCATTTCCATCAAAACTGAAGTCGTTCCAGACTGCAGTAGCTATGGGAGAGTTCCCAGTTCCATTTCCAGGTAAGAGGTTCTCATAACTGTAACTGTCCATGAGATTCGTCTCATTGTCAGGATATTGTGGGGGATTTGAATGATCAGTTGTACATCGTGCATCCTCATCTCCTGGAGCCTGGGCCCAGCACAGGCTCAGATGAACACAAAACAAAGCAAAGACCTGCGATGATATCAACAGTCAAACCAATAGTTGGCATAGCACTGTCCCACCAATAGGCTTGCTTATGCATTTTGAGTAAGTAAATTGACAGTTAAAGTGCTATATCAAGCGAATGATTAGCCTGAGTTCGCATTGCCCCATTGCCCCATCAATGTTGTAAAGATAGAAATGGATTACCTCATCGCGTCGCAGCAACGCAGAATGGGGTGGCAGGCAATTATATTATTACCTAATCTGTTACTCATCTTAGTATTAATTGTGCACATGCACTTCAGGTATAGATATCAGTTTCACATTAATTTTAGTGTGAGCAGTCGCCAATGCCAGTCATGAAAGTTTTGACATGGTAGCTAATATTTCTGCCACTAGCTTCGCAAATTTAATGCCCATATTTAGCCAAGGACAACAGATCAGCAAGCGTGGTTGCTTTTGTGACAGCATAGTATACTTCCTGTACTCTCTGTAAGTTGCAGTAACGTAGCTAATTCAGCCCTACTCACTCTTACAAACACTTCATAGGGTACACATATCTCAGCACATTACTATAGGGAAGAGCATTATCAGTGTCTTTTTAAAACAACATTGGTTACCTTGTAAAAAAACAGCAGATGTGGGCGAAGGTATATACATAGCTAATGCAGACTTTTGAGAATACTGTCTATTAGAGTGGAATCTCTAATGGAGGACACTCATGAAATGACTACACCTCTCTAATAAGTCCACCGTTACTTTTCCAAGAGAGAGTTCTTGCGCACAATTTATATACCCGCACCTCACTAAAAAAGGAAACCTTGTTCTGTAGCATTGGTGTGGAATTCAGAGACGTATAATGTAGCTGGCAGTATAACAGTGCACAGCAGCTGGTATTTGGCTGATTCAGTGCCAGGAAGATTTGTGGCTATTGCCAAGCCTACCATCAAGAGAAATTCTTTTGAGTAACTGATCTACATGCATGTTCTTCCCTCCCATTATCAACAGTGAGTCCATCGAAATTGAATTCTTTATTCCTGTATACAACTGTACCAGCTAAAACCAAATAGAAAAAGTTAGCTAGCTACAGAGAACACAACAACGCGCTGCGCAACATACGTTCGGAGGCCGTAAACATAGCATGCATGACCTTGGATACGAAAGAGAACACAAGGGACGTACCAACGACGGCTTCATATCAACGGCAGTAGTCTTGATAGAGGATCCCGTTTCACCGGCACGGAAAACGCGCGACTGTGTCTTACGAGCGAAATTGGCTCAACCCGAGCTAATTATGGTTTCTCCGATCGGGTACGCATGCGCACTTCCGCTAATTAGCTCACGCTGGCGTGCGCGCGTACCAGCCCCTACGACGGCAGAGGAGGCCGCTTGATTGAGACATCATCTCATACATTAGTAACTTACAAGGTTACAAAACAATAATAATGTTTGAGTGACATGAGCGTTTCTAACAGTTCTTTATTTTGAGGACCAGTAACTTGGCTCTTTTTCCTTCTGTTTCTTCTTCTTCTTCATGTGAGTGTGAAGAACTAAGCCGACAACGACTGAGAGAAATCCCACTGCGGCTGCAGTCACTACGAAGGTTACAATGATGGAAACAGCGATCGAAGTCCTGTCAATGTAAGATGTATCGTTGGTCGAGGAAGAGAGCTGGCCTTGGGATACAGACATGCACAGTCCTGGCTCCTTCAGATCTGCCAGTGTACTCCTGACCTCTGTAGAGAAAGGAATATTTGAAGTGCAGGAATTGAAAAAAACAAACTAGAAACGGAAGAAGATAATGGTTGCAGTTTTTAGGTTTGGGAGTCGTCTGTGAAACTTTCTCAGTGTGAAAACATTTTGTGGAGTTATGCATGATTTTCTGTACAATGACGTGATGGTAGCAAAGCACAAAATAGCTTTGGAAATGATTATCTGCTGACATACGCTCTTTTACATAACGAAGCATAGTACAGGAGGAAAGACAAGGAGACTCTAGGCGTGCTTCCTCCCTTATGTATACAACAGTCCTAGGTGAAGAGTGATTGATGTATACATTATATACCTTGTAAGGTGAAAGCCAGTGTGTTGTTGTCGTTGTCGGTATCTCTTTCCTCTCTGAAGGAGTTCCGATGTGTCTTTACCTAACAGGGAGTAACAGGGTGTTAATGTCAAAGTGAAAGGTGATTTACACCTATAGCTGGTAACAGAATAAACTTTCATATCAGACAGGTATCCGCTTACTTGTAATAGGAAACCACGCTACTCAGGATTCATCGGGCACACAGACAAATTATGTCCACCCAATGCTTAGTATGGAGAGCCATATATAGAAATAAGTTTACTGTTAGCTTAATCGGGAATGTTCTTTCTTGGAACTTTTATGCGAATTCTATAGCAACCTGGTTAACCACATGCTACTCAAGTTCAAAATATCATTACCCTGGTTTTACAGGATGAGTGAGAGATGAACGTGAAGGACAAATAATTAGTGATTCCATAGAGATTTAAAACAACTGTGAAGACCATGACCATAAGAAAATAGTGAAAAAGAAAAGTTTGTACAGGCATGAATAAAGTTATCTTATCTTTACAGTAACAGCAATAGTATCCTTATGTCAGCATTTTCATGTGTCAATGCATGTGTAGAGCAAATGCCTAATAGTTTAAACTTTTGTGGGTGATTGTTTATACCAGTGAAAGAGCATTGACTAGCAGTTTGTAAAAATACATAATTAGCCTCTGAGTAATAACTATACTTTTTGATGCTTGTGTTTATATACTCTGGCTTTCTTCTGTCATTGCACCACCTCATAGGTAACTTCTTCTCGTTGGGCTGGTTATCTTGGTCAGAACATATGCCTCATTAGGAGAGACAGGAACATCAGTTGTCTTGGTGGTAGGGTTAGTGGCCTCTGCATAGGTCTCGGTCTTGTTCCTAGACCTTCTCATTCTGAAGATGAGTAGACATTGAGTGAGGATGACTGTGGTGAGGATCAGTAGGAGAGATACTGCTGACACAGCAATCACAGCTGAGCCACTGGACTCCTCACTACATGTACAGCCATTCTCGCTGTCTCCAGGAACTGGGGTAGGCACCAGTTGGACCAGTGACTGGGGTAGGCACCAGTTGACAGTGACTGAGGTAGGCACCAGTTGAATAAGTAACCTTTTCTTGAATATATAATTATATTTACACTACTAGGTAGAAAGTGACTTACCTATGCAAGTCCCAGCATCAGTGGGTTTGTAGTTGTCAATACATTTGCACCGAAGCTCCTTATTAACCAGCCAGACACCTCCAGACAGCATGTCACCTCCAGACTGGGTGGCTGAGTGGTACCCGCGTTCTCCACACAGGTGCAGTCACATTGACACATTCTCCTCCTTCACCAACTGTAGTCTTTGGATAGCGGACAAGCTCCGTTGTCATCGTATGCTCTGGACACTCATTACAGCCTGCATCGAAAATGGTCTCTCTATAAGTGCACAGCATTGTACTACAAAGAGTTCTTGATTTTTGTAGTGTGATAAACTCACAAAGAGAAATGGAATACCCTGCCTGAGAACTCACCACAGCCCTTTCCTCTTGCAGCTAAAATGCTTGATTAGATTTAGCCACATGCGCGAACAGATTGGGACATTAGCTGTTGAATCCACCCAGTGTTCTGAATACGTGGTCTATGGACCCCATGCCTACGACTTCTCACCGAAAATTGTACACTGAGTTTCGCCGTTTTCATTCATGTCTGCTCTAATTTTACAGATACTCTCTCCGGGACCAGCTTCATTAACCGCCACCACCTGCAGATAGTATCAATTAGTTAATACATTCAAGAATGAATGAAACACATTTTGGTGAGCGAGTGTCAATTTTTCATGCATACATAGACAGTAGCTATGTGCCCAGCGCCCATCACATATAAAAAAATCCTGCATTCAGACGACTGGGTATGCTCGCTATGCTCCTCAACTAACTTAAAAAATTGGAAAAAGCAATAACACTTACCTCCATAAACAGGGTACCAGATACTCCACGTAACTCTGGGGTATTTTCCAATACGAGGAAAGACTGCTCCCTACGAAATCTTTTATTTCCATGTCTTCTTCCTGACGATCACTTGATACTGGTCCAGCTCGCAATCTCCCGGCATCTCGGCCGCTCCCACACTACCACCTGTTCAAAACACTGAAGGTCTTTGACAGGTCCAAACCCTACGAGTGTAAATTTTAATAAGTGTAAATAATAACATTCGTATAAGGTATTATCTTTTAACTGAATATTGGTACTTATGCCATGAACTTCAGTAAACTAAGGGGCCATCTTCCACTTGCCAATGATGGTCAGAGTTGAACCTTTACATCCTCTACAGTTGGACCCTTACATCCTTCTTTTGTTCTGATGCATTGTGTCGCAGTCCTGCTGTCTTTACTAGTGGGGTCCTGGTCGCTGACTCCATCTCAGCCGTCACTCTAACACAGTAGTCTGTACACGGTCTGAGGCCAGTGATAAATGCGCATTTCCGTGGACCCAGGGACAACACACGGTCCCAATGTATGACCCCAGGTTGTCTGGTGTCACTGATTTCCACTGATAGTAGAGATCTGCTGTCCTCCCACCATGGTCTGCTGGTGCTGACCATTCGACAGTTTTACTGGTGTTAGTTGTGGCTAGGACAGTAACACATTACTTGGAGCACTGGGAGGTCTGAACATGGAAAGAAGTTTGTTTTTACGTGGATTAAACTCAGTGTCTTTTGCTTACTTGTGCATCCGTAGGTGAAATCTTCATCAACAGGGTTTTCATATTGTCTCTTTTCTGTTGAAGTTTCATTGTTTCTGAAGTAGCCATCTTTACAGGGACAGGACAAGCAGCTTCCTGGGTGTCTGTAGTACTGGCAGGGCACTGCAGGCACACTGTACCGTCAGACCATGATCAGCTGGACAGCTATTATCAATGAAAAAGTGTTCAAATAAGTATTATATTTTCAAAGAGATGTCCTTACCATTGCACCTTGTAGCCTCCCTATTTGGTTCATAGCCGCATTTACACTGACACACAGGGGTCTCAGGCACCCATGTTCCATCACTGAAACATGTGACTCTGAGCTCCAGAGACCACTGCATTTCAACACAACTGATATCATATTTGCTGAGCACAGACATTCTGGAGCAGGAAGCATCATGCATAGCGGACCAGTCCATCGGTGAGGAGATGCTTGCAGTTGTTGCTGCACTTTTGATAGTACTCTCAGTCGTGATAGAGCTATACATGACCAATGTCTGAGACAGCTACGTAGAAACCAGTGGAAGATGGTGAGCGCAGAGTGAAGGACTGTAGGTATATGGTGTATAGTCAACCGAGGAAACATTGGTCCTTCGCGGTACTGCAAAATTCTTCATAATTTTGTGGGTATTCAGGTATCCGCATGCTCCGACTGGTACGGGGAGAGCTGTTGTTCGAGTTAGTCATGTAGTGGAGAAGTGAATCTTTGGTATACAACCTTGCCTTATTCACTGCAACACTCTGGCAATGAGTAAAGTGCTCCACATGTATTGTCACATCATAGTGTGATATGTTGACGTCGAAAATCTGAACTGATGTGTTGAGTAAGAGGCCGTTAATCTGAGAAGCTACGACACCATTCTGCCTCATCCACAACTCGGTCGGAATCACGACAGAGTCCTCCCAGCCGCCTGCTGCACTGAAACAGTAGGCAGCTATAGAAGTAGAAGTAATGTTTACAACAGCATCTACTTCTTTTAGGCTAACTCACAGCATAAGTCGGGCTCAGTGTTTGAGAGTGACAGCATTTCCAGCAAAACATGAAGTCATTCCAGACTGCAGTGGGAGCTATGGTGGAGAGTGTCCAGTTCCATTTCCAGGTAAGAGTTCTACATACTGTAACTGTCCATCAGATTCGTCTCATTGTCAGGATATTGGGGGGAGTTTGATGATCAGTTGTACATCGTGCATCCTCATCTCCTGGAGCCTGGGCACAGCACAGGCTCAGATGAACACAAAACAAAGCAAAGACCTGCCAATGATATCAACGGTTCAAACAAATAGTTGGCTAGTTTAGCACTGTCCCACCAATAGCTTGCTTAATGCTGAGTAAGTAAATTGACAGTTAAAGTGCTATATCAAGCGAATGATTAGCCCTGGTTTGCATTGCCCCATGCCAATCAGATAGAAATGGATTACCTCATCGCATCGCACCAACGCAGAATGGGGGGCAGGCAATTATATTATTACCTAATCATGTTAGTCATCATAGTATTAATGTGCACATGCACTTCAGAATAGATATAAG